AGAAGGATATGAAATTTAAATATCGGTTACTTGTCTCATGCTATAAGAAAAGTGCCCAGTAAAGCAACATAAGGAAGGCAATTCATTTTGGGTCACAGTCCATCATGGGGAAGGACACATGACAGGTGGATGTCACTGGTCACATTATATCTGCAATCAGGAAGCAGAGAGAGATGAGCACTATTGCACAGATTGTTTCTCCTTTTTATTCACTCTGCAATGCCAGCCCATAGGACAGTGCAGCCCATGTGTAGGTAGGCTCCTATATGATTCTAGAACCTGTCAAGTTGACAATATTAATCATCACAAAGTCCAAAATAAAGAAAACTACTAAATTTACTGAAAAAAATCAATGACAGATTAGAAAATTCAAGGTACTATGAATACATCATGTACACACATGCACACATGCCCCCTGCCCAAGTCACAAAAGTTAGTGTCCAGGAGGATTTAAACCTGACCAATTGCTGGGTCATGGTGGCACATGCTTTTAATCTCAGCATTCAGGAGGCAGAGGCAGGTGGATCTCTGTATGTTCCAGACCAGTCTGGTCTACAAAGTAAGTTCCAGGACAGCCAAGGCTACACAGAGAAACCCTTTCTCAAAAAATCAAAAACTCTAAAATAAAATAAATCTGAGAAATTAGTCTGCTTTCTGATATTGATAAGGTATTGGGAAAGAACTCACATAGTGATTACAAAATTCAGCAAGAACTGGGGTGGCAAGCTCTCTAATGGGCCAGCTGGCAAACATCTGAACTGTTAAAACTACTCAAAGTCACAGCAATCAGTAGACAATATATAAACAAGTAGGAATGATGAGGTTTCAAGATTTCATACTTTATTTACAAGAGCAGATCTGGACCCTGGCCACAGGTCATAGTTTGCTGACTCCTGACCTGGAAATACAGATCCTAGAAGATAGTCATGCCCTGCTCCACTTTTGGAAAAAAATAACAAGCAGAGATTTGGTCTAAAATAAGATCAAGTCCATAAAGTAAAGCTCCCATAGTTATTATTTAGAATTGTGTTATATGTATGCATTAACATAGAGTGACTGTAATTTACTTTTGTACTTACCTATGATTTGGAATATGACCACTCAAAAATATGGTCTTTCTACTCACACTCAGACCCTGTAAGAAGTTCAAGGTTTATGTGAGGGTGTTGCCTTTGTTGAGGCCAGAAGAAGGCATCGGATCTCCTGAAACTGGAATTACAGGCAGTTGTGAGTTGCCTGATATGAGTACTGGGAACCAAACTTGCATTCTCTCCAAGAGTAGTAAGTGTCTTAACCACTGAGCCATGTCTCCAGCCTCAAGGCTCCTTTTTAGGTGCCAACCTAAAAGCAGAGAGGTGAGCAGAATGTCAGAGGATCAACAGGGACTAGGGAAGTAGCTTAGTGGTAGAACACTTGCCTAGCATGCATGAGACCCTGGGCTCCATCCTCAGTACTGCATAAGTTGGGCGTGGTCACACACACACACAATAACATCCTCCTCCTCCTCCTCCTCCTCCTCCTCCTCCTCCTCCTCCTCCTCCTCCTCCTCCTCCCAGCACTTGGGAATAGAAGGCAGGAGAATTAGAACTCCAAGACCATTCTTAGTTACATTGTGCAGTCTGAGATACCTGAAGCACTGCCTCAAAAAAAAAAAAAAAACTCAATACACAAAAAAACCACTTATAATTATGTGTATTTGGACTTTGGTTCAGTCCTGTGTGGGGCAAGAGGAAGAGTAACAAGGATCCCCCAGTGTGAGGAATGTTTCCCATGTTCATCTGGGGTACCAAGAGCTCCAGCTTCATGGATGTAGGGATGCATCTGAACCCTTCTTTCCATCCAAGGAGACTTTGAAAGGCTTCCCAGGGTAGCAGCAGAGCAACAAGACAAAGGAAGGCAGGCCGAGACCATGTTTGCAGGCCAGCCCCTCCCTATGCCGGTACCTACAAGGCACAGAAGGGTACTCAGCTGAGGAGGCTGTGACTTGGGTGCAGGTGGTCCCTGGCTCTATCTCTACATGGCAAGCTTCTTCAAAGGAACACATCTATCTCACTTTAGAACAACAGAATTTTCCCTACAAGGAATTTTCCAAAACAATGAACGCTAAGCTACCAAATAAAGCTAGTCACCTCGGAGTGGTAGCACACATCTATAATCCCAGTGCTTAGGAGGCTGAGGCAAGAGAATTGCCAGTTCAAGGCTAACTTGAGCTACATAATAGGACCCTCTCTCCCTCAAACCAAAATGAAGTTGCAAAAACAGGTCCATGCAGGCTTCAAACACAGCTTTCAATCAACTCAGCTTATCAAGCTTTAAAAACTGAAATGGCAAACCTCAACATATCTGTCTGCATAGAGCAAGAAACTATTCAAGGCAGTGTGGCAGATTTGAAAAACAACCAGAACCCTAGAAGCATAAACTCTAAACATCCAAATTATGAAGCAATGGGGAGGGGTTGGGGAGACGGCTCCGTGGGTGAAGTACTTGCTGCACAAGCCTGGGGACCTGAGTTCAGGCCCCAGCACCCAAAGAAAGAGCTGGGTGTTGGCTCCTATAAGTGCTGGGGTGGAGGAGACAGATGTGTACTAACTACTTTTGTGTTGCAGTGATAAAACACCATGACCAAGGCTGGAGAGATGGCTCAGCAGTTAAGAGCACTGGCTGCTCTTCCAGAGGTCCTGAGTTCAATTCCCAGCACCCACACAGTGGCTCACAACCATCTATAATGGGATCTGATGCCCTCTTCTGACATGCAGGCATATATGCAGATGGAGCACTCATATACATAAAAAAAATACATTAAAAAAACAAAACCCGCCACAACCAGAAGCAAGGCCACACCTTCTAAACCTACCCAAACAATGCCACCAACTGAGAACCACGTATTCAAACATCTAATTTTTTTTTAAATTATTAAGTTTTTTAAATTTATTTTGCATACCAACCAGTTTCCTCTCCCTCCTCTCCTCCTGTTCCCTCCTCCACCTCTTTTCTACCCTCCCCTCCATCCACTCCTCAGAAAGGGGCAGCCCTCCCATGGGAGTCAACAAAAGCATGGCATATCAAGTTGAGGCAGGACTAAACTCCTTCCCCCCTGCATCAAGGCTGAGCAAGGCATCCCACCATAGGGACTAGGCTCCAAAAAGCCAGCTCATGCGCCACAGACAGGTCCTGGTCCCATTGCTAGGGGCCCCGCAAACAGACCAAGCTACACAGCTGTCACCCACATGAAGAGGGCCTGGGTCAGTCCCAGGCAGGCTCCCCAGCTGTTGGTCTAGAGTCCATGAGCTCCCACGAGCTCGGGTCAGCTGTCTCTGTGGGTTCCCCCTTCATGATCTTGTTATTGGATGAAGATTCTATGATGACAATTATGGTAGTCACCAGTCTGATTATAAGAGAAGGCCAGTTCAGGCACCGTCTCCACTATTGCTAAGTCATAGCTGGGATCATCCTGTGGACTCCTGGGAGTTTCCCTAGCACCAGGTAACTCCATAATGGCCCCCTCTATCAAGATACTGCTTTTGTTTCTCTCCCTCTCCATCCCTCCCCCAACTCCCCATTCCCCATGCCCTCCCCTCTGGTCCCCCCCGCCGCCCCCCCTCACCTGTCCCTTGTTTACCCAGGAGATCTGTTTTCCCTTCCCAGGGCAATCCATGTGTCCCTCTTAGGGTTCTCCTTGTTACCTAGTTTCTCTAGGGCTGTGGATTGTAGCCTGGTTATCCTTTGCCTTACATCTAGTATCCACTTACAAGTGAGTACATACTGTGTTTGTCTTTCTGGGTCTAGATTACCTCACTCAGGATGATTTTTCTAGTTCCATCCATTTGCCTGCAAACTTCATGATGTCATTGTTTTTTTACTGCTGAGTAGTACTCCATTCAAACATCTGATCTTATAGGGGAACGTTCTTGTTTAAATAACCACACACCCTGTCTTGATTAGGTCAGTGAAGCACCTTGATCAAAAAGCAAGTTGGGGAGGGAAGGGTTTATTCATCTTCCACAGCACTGTTCATCATTGAAGGAAGTCAGGGCAGGATCCTGGAGGCAGGAGCTGATGCAGAGGCCATGGAAGAGAGCTGCTTACTGGCTTGCTTCTCAAGGCTTCCTCAGCCTGCTTTCTTATAGAACCCAGGACCACCAGCCCAGGGATGGCACCACCCACAATGGGCTGGGCCCTCCCCCATCGATCACTAATTGAGAAAATGCCTTACAGCTGGATGTCATGGAGGGTTTCCTCAACTGACACTCCTTCCTCTCTTGTGCCTCTAGCTTGTGTCAAGTTGATATAAAACCAGCCAGTGCACACCCCAGTGTCACCAATGGGAACAGCTCAAATACCTGCACTTATGGTAGAGTGAGGAGCATTGTCAGTGGTTAAGAGCACTGGTTGCTCTTCCAGAGGACCTTGGTTCAATTCCCAGCACCCACAGGATGGCTCACAACCATCTGCAACTCCAATCCTAGGTATCCAAAGCGCTCATCTAGCCTCTGTGGGCACTGCATGCACATTGTATATAGACATACATGCAGGCAGTACACCCATACATATGAAATTTTTAAAAAGGCTAAAAAACCCAGAGAGTACCAGGTTCAGTGAGAGACCCGTCTCACTTAAAAAATAAGGTGGAGAGTGACTGAAGAAGGCACCCAATGTCATCCTGTAGCCTCTGTTCACACATGCAACACACAAACATGCACACGCATGTACAACACACTCTCATAAAAGATACAGCAGGGGTCTCTGGCAACAGATCTGTCACCAGAGAAGAAACAGTGAGCTAAAGCATAGATCTGAAGAAGTTATAGTTGATGGCACAGGACACATATAGAAGAGGGTAGGAGATGCTGGGCACTACAGTGAGTGCAGCACCAGGGTCCTCGGGGAGAGAGGAGAGAGGAGGAGGCAGAAGCAGCATTGGAGGAGTGGCGGGATGTTTTCTGAAACCAACACGAGACAGTCACACACAGATTCAAGGGGCCGAATAAATAAATATAGTGTTACTGCTCTAGTTGGCATCGTGAACCTGGGGGAGCAGAGCCTAAAAATGAGGCAGACCAAAGTTTCATGCAATAGCCAACTTTATTCAGAGAATCAGACAATTTATACTCAGAGTATTCTTGAGAGTTAAGCAAGGTCATATGAGCAAAGGTCACATGAATTCAGGCTGTATACAGTCACGAGGGCAAGGTCACATTAGCTCAAGCTGTGTATAGTCAACTCATGCTTGGAAACATCGTTCTGAGGAATGGGTAAAATGATGGGTAATCTAAAGTAACCCACCTGCGTTTTACACCTGGCAGGGCACGAAAGCACATTCCAAAAACAGCCCATGTTATGGAGGGACAGAGGTTACAAGACTCTTGTTTACCTGAGTTTTCTCACAAGGCATCAGAAATCTCCTCACACGGCTTCAGCCATGGACCATTCATGTATTTCAACAATAGAAAAAGAATAAAAGAGAGAAATCCCCACCAAGCCAGGCCTGCTAACCCTAGTTAACTGGAGCAAATTCAAGGCCAGCCTAGGGTACAGAGTGAGTTCAAGGCCAGCCTAGATAATTTAGTAAAACTGTGTCTCATATTCAACAATGAAAAAAAAATTGAGGACATAAATCCACGGCAGAGTGTTTGCCTAGCCTATGCATGGACATGGGTTCAAGTCTCAGTAGCACGTATACAAAAATAAATAAAAGAAAGAGAAATAACTCATTTCAATAAATATTAGACTGGAAAAACCAACAATGAAAATTCTGTAAGACAGACGTAAACAAGGAATTTTTTATTTTATTCTAAAGAAGTTAGGAAGGGGCTTAGACACAGCTCATCAGTAAAGTTCTGACCTCACAAGCACAAGGGCTCAGTCCCCAGAACCCAGGTGAAAATGCCACAGGACACAGCTCTGCCTTCGTATAAGCCCAGAGCTGGGAGGTGGAGACCTGCTGACCAGCCACTCTAGCTTAACTGGTGAGATCCGGGGCAGCGAAAGACCCTTTCTCAAAGGAGATGGGCAACGTTTCTGAAGATGATACCTGAGATAGTCATGTAGCCTCCACGTTTGTGCATGCACGTACATGAGTATACACACACACACACACACACACACACACACACACACACACACACACACACACGGAGGCATGAGTATCTGATCTGGACTCTCAGCTCCGTGAGTAGCATGATAAAAACAAGTGGACTCAGCTCAAGTGAAGAGGAACACACTACAATCAGGGAAAACACTATTCAAGAGTAAGGGGAGGAGGCTGCTGGAAAGTTAGCTCAGTGGTTCAGAGCATTTGTTGCTCTTAGAGAGGACCCAGGTTCAATTCCCAGAACCCACACGGAGGATCACGACTGTCTGTAACTCCAGTCCTGAGAGATCCAGCACCCTCTCTGACCTCTGAGAGCGCCAGGTACATACTTGGTGCACTTACATAATGCAAGCAAAGCAAAACACTCATACACATAAAAAAATCAAATCAATCTTTAAAAAAAATAAATAAAGGTGGGGCTAGAGAATTGGTTCAGCAGTTAAGAGCACTTGCTGCTCTTCCAAAGAACCTGGGGTCAGTTCCAGCACCCATATCAGGAGCTCACCGCTAACATCTTCTTCCCACATGCATTCAGCATACACTCACAGACACTCATAAACAAAATCAATCTTTAAAGGAAAAAATGGTGAAACAAGGGTGTTGTTGGGCAAACAGAGACAGAACCATCTGTCAAAAGGAGGTCAGGAAGATGACCTTGAACTGGGACAGTGATTCCCCAGGCGGGTGTAAGCTGCAAGGTAAGCCAGAATATCAGAGAGGTACAGATTTGAGAAGCAAGAGAGGCACGGAGGAGAAAGGGACCAAAATCTCAAAGATAGGAATGGCAAACAGCAGCAAAGCCCAAGGAAGCGGCTAAATCAGGCTTAAGCAACTCTCCCTTCGCAAGCACATTCCCATCCTTGGTGTGTCTGTTTCTCTGACTCTTTGAGAAGCACACATGCATGCAGGAGTCCGCAGAGGCCAGAAGAGGGCATCAGATCCCCTAGAATTGGAATTACAGATGCTTGCTAGCTCTCAAGGGTATGCTGGGACCTGAGCCAGTGCTCTTAACCACTGAGTACTCTCTCTAGCCCTCCAAAACATCTTTATAAAACCCTAACTCTGCTTCAGAAAAAATAAATGATAATAATAAAACCAGGTTTCAAATATGGAAAAGAGGTTGAGGATTTTGCTCAGTGGTAGGGCTTGCCTAGCACTTGTTAAAACCTTGGTTTCAGTCTCCAGCACGAAAAGGAAGAAAAGGAGGGAGAGAGAAAGGCCAAAGAAAAACTTTACCTGCTCCAGAAAGGGTAAAATACTAACTTTAAAGTTGGATAAATCAAGGGTTAGAGAGATGTTTCAGTGGTTCTAAGAGCACTTGGTGCTATAGCCGATGACCCAGGCCCCGACATGGTGGCTTGCAACTGTCTGTAACTCCAGGTCCAGAAGATCCAGAGCACTCTTCAGTCTCCACCAGCACCAGGCACACATACAGTTGCACTTACACACATGCAGGAAAAACACACACAAAATAAAAATCTATTTAAAAAAAAAAAATCAGTAAATTGGGCCAGGCAGTGGTGGCGCACGCCTTTAATCCCAGCACTCGGGAGGCAGAGCCAGGTGAATCTCTGTGAGTTCGAGGCCAGCCTGGTCTACAGAGCGAGTTCCAGGACAGTCACCAAAACTACACAGAGAAACCCTGTTAAAAACAACAAACAAACAAATAAAAATCAGTAAAGCATCCATGGATACTTCAATTTGTAATTAAACAATTGGAAAGTGTACAAATTGAGGAAGGTGGAAATATTTCTTCAACACTGTGTACTTAAAATAAGGGATGATGCCAGGTGTGCTGCACACACCGGAAATTGTAGCACTTGGGAGGCTGAGGCAAAAAGGATTTCAAATTTGGGGAAGAAAAAAAATGAACCAAAGAGAGCAGAAAATAAAGACTGAGGATGTAGCTCAGTTCACAGACTGCTTGCCACAAATGCATGAGGCCCTGGGTCTGGTCCCCAGCACCACGTAAACTGGATACAGTAGCACACATCTATAATCCCAGCACACAAGGTGGAGGTCATCCTCAGCTACCTATCAAGATCCAGGCCAGCCTGAGCTACATGAAACCTGATCTCGGGAGCGGGGAGGAAGAGAGTGGTGGGACAAAGGAAGAAAAGGAGGCAGGAAGGACTGGCAAGGCGGCTCATTGGGTCAAGATGCTTGCTGCTAAATCTGATAGCCTGAATTTGATCCCAGAACCCAGGTGGAGGAAGAAAACCAAGTCCTTCCTGCAAGTTCTTCTCCGACCTCCACAAGAGTGTCACCACACGCCACTCCATACAAATAAATACACGTAACAAACATTTTTGAAAGACAGCACAAAGTTAGCTGATTTAAACCAATGTATCCTGGGTTTAAATATACTAATAGTCAGAAGATGCACACGGCAATGCTGATGTCATAAACAAATTTGAATAGCCGCTTCCCTCAAAGCCACTCCCCCAAGCAATGACCAGCCCCTTGCTGATGTCATAAGCTGTCCACTGTGACCACCCATTCTGTCCCTTGACAACACAGGGTCTCAGCCCTTCGAGTGGATGGGTTGTAACCTGCTAACTTCACCTCCCTGGAAGCTACTGTTTTGGGCTCTTGTATCTGCTTGAGTTAACTTTTCTTGTGGCCCCCTGCTGGTCTTCTCTGCGTAGCTGTTGCTGACGGAACTTGAAGAGTAAGAATTTCACTCTAGAGTCCCAAGAGTCAAAGCCTAGCAGAAGACAGCACAATCTTTCTTACAAAAAGGCTTTTCCTTGAGAGGTGTGTCATCTAGCCTTTGGCAGCAGGACACCTGGCTTCCAGTCAAGTCCCCATGGAGCCAGAATCCATAGAAATCTGTCCTTATAACCCTCACCACCGAATCCCACTCAGCAGACTCCAGTACCACCTGGCATCATGCAGGAAGAAGAATCCCAATAAAGCCAAAAAGATGGCTAGTTGTAAATACAACGCCTGCCACGTGGTCCCCATCAGGAAGCTGGCTGAACACGAAGCTACTTGTGTCAACAGAAGCTCCATGGAGGAAGAGGACACTCTGAGCCCTCTGCACGTGAGTCTCCCACAGCCGCAGAACGAGGACACGCTACAGGTCCCTTGGCTTTCCAACCCGGATATATGGAATGTTGACGGTGCCAACGGTCACCCAATGTTCGTCCTTAAGAGTTTTGTTCCCCAAAAACTTGTTTGTGAAAGTGACACTCAAGAGTCACAGAGAGGAGACCAACCCCCAGAAGATCCTCAGACCAGGACGAGGAGGGCAAACCTCTAGCAGCGCGAAGAGGGCTCTCAAATGCGTGGATAGACACGAATCTCAGAATAAAAGCCTGCAAAGTAACCGGCCCTGCTCTTGATTGTTTCAAAGGGCTTAGGAGGTCTGAGGTGAAGGAGGTGGGGTTTATAACATAGGTGAGAATGAATGTAAGTTTAACCAACTCCCATGGGCAACACTTTGACAGTAGCGATGAAAACGATCACACACAGGCTTTAATCAAGTAATTCTACACCTAAGACTTCACCCTGCGCAGACAGCCACATGGGGCAAATGAGGCCGAGCAGTTATTCAGTGAGGTGTGATTTATAGCAGCACTGACTTACTCATAAGGAGGGCCTACCTGGGGGAGTGATGTTGCGGCTTCGCCAATGAGAGAAGGTACTGTAATGAGCCAGCTGTAGAAACTGTGTTGGAAGCGGGACACCGCGTGTTCTGAAAAGTTTATAGCTAGGCTCAGCTCACCTTGCAGTCTCTCTGGCAGCTACTTGGTTCTTAAACAGGCAGAGATAACACCTACGCCAGTGACCCCATGTTCCAATAAAACTATCTACACAAACAAGAGGCAGGCTAGATTTGGCCAGTGGGATGTAGATTGCCAAACCCTGAGTTTAACTGATAAAAAGCCTAGAAAAGTCTACATTATAGTATGCCAGTTTTACAGGGCCAGAGAGGAAACATGATATACGTGCCTGTGTTTACATGGCACACACAAGATACAATGGGAATCTGTCCCCAGAGGTCTAAGTGGCTATCACCTGATAAAAGAGCTTCCTCCCTAGACTGCCTCAATGGAAGACAGTGAGGTAACCAAGGAGTAAGGATGACATCTCCCCGTTTCTTCGCCTGTGCATACATGTGAATGTGTTACCTGGCTTAAATATTTATTTAAATATATATAACAGCAGCCAGAAGCCATAATTAGGGTTTTTTTTATATATAAGTTTTTAAGGAAGAAATCTTCTGAAGACACGGTCTTATTGTGTAGCTGGCCTAGAAGTAACCATATAGTCCAGTTGGCTTTGAATTGTGAACTTCCTGTTTCTGCCGAGGTCACAGGGGTCATGCCACATCCAGTTTGGGAGGAAAGTTTTTTTTTTTTTTTTTTTTTTTTTTTTAAGCGTAACTTGGGCACCTTCCACTCTTGTATAATATTAGAGGGACCAGCCTTAATATTATACATCCCAGGGGCTCAGGAGAGAGAACTACTAACGGCGAGGACTATTTTCGGGAAATAGAATCTCAGCACACACTTGCTTTAATTCCTCTGGCATAACATCCTATATACACAGCTTAGTTCTGCTCTCGTGCCTAGCTCCTTTCTTGGCTGATTTCTCTATGTATTTATCTACTGTTCCCTCTAAGTTCTATCTTAATTGTTCCCTCTATGTTCTATCTTAATTCTCTCGTCTTAATTCTGTCTCATCTAGGTCCTTTTCATCTTGTTCTTACCCAGCTAGTACTTCCCCATCTGACTCTTCCTCATCTTCCATCTTGTCCACACGTACTCTCTGGTCAAAATCCTCCTTGTTCCTCCCGGTTCTCTGTCTCTCTGTCCTCCACGTGCCCTGGAAGTCCCAGTATATATACACTTACAAGTAGTAATCCCTTTGTAGTGCAAAGCCAGGCTTCCAGGGTCAAATGGAGGGGTGATAAGAATCACATAGAGGGGCAATAACTGTTGATTATCATTTGCAACCCCAAAGGGAAGTGACCAATGGGGAAATGAATTAACTAAAGGCTAAATTCGGGTAATATCTAAAAAGAGGGACCTTATGTGCTCAACTATAATCTTAAACGTGATTGCTAGAAAATGTTAAGAATCTGTAAGTTGCTAGGTCAATGGGAGAAAATAAAACTGCCTTTTTTCCTGTGGCTCCTATCTGTCCAAGCTATCTGCCATTTTTCTGTAGGGTGGGGGAAAAGTGTGCTCAGTCGCTAGGCAACCTGTGTAAAGCTAGATGCCTCTGGTGATAGTTAAAGGGAGATCTGGAACTAGAGGTAAGATTTGGGAAAGAAGGAAGTAACGCTTAATTGGCACATCCGCCAGGCCTTCTCAAACAGGTAGCCTGGATGCTTAAGTCTGTTCTTAGAGAGTATAGAGGTATCTCTGATAAGGTACTTTCCTCCATCTGGGGATGGTCCTGGCCGGATGCTGCCAATGATGGTAATTACAGGGAGGCTTGAACTGGGGTTCTGGCTGAACACAGCTGTCAGCACAGAAAGTTATCTAAATATTCCTAGGAGTGGTTAGGTAAGGAGTTAAAGGTCTATAAAGTTAGTAAGGCTGTAAGAAAGGAGGGTCCGAGCTAAATTGTGTAAAGCTATTACTTAACATCCACCTGACCTAGGTGGTGTCTCCTTGTGGAATTTATCTTAAAATCAGGAGAATTGCATGTGGACTGTTGTTACTGTTAGTCCTTGAAAGTGGCCAAGGGAGAATCTGATTCCAGAGAAAGCCTTTCCTGAGGCTGTTCTCCAAATACCTGGAATGTGTATGTCCAGAGAGTGATCAGTTCACACTGTTTGTTAGCCCTTCTTAGGGAAAAGTCAGTTGGGAAAGCTATGAAGGCACACATGATTTTCATAACAGAAGACAGCTGATACATAACAAGCCAAATCACACCAAAAGCTCCTTGGGATTTGGCTTCCTCTGGAGGAATTCCCTGATCCCTCCACGTAGTGACTTTGCCATAACCAGCTGAGTTCTTGTGATGTATTCCTGCGGCCCACAGCACTCTACATGTTTGCTTCTCTTCAATTGTTTCCATAAAGTTAATATTGTGTGCCCCTGTCCCCGGAGACCCCGGGTGTGTTTGACAAGATTACTCAGTAGGTAAAGACACTTGCTGCACAATCCTACTGACAGTGAAATGTATGCCAGGTCTCAGCAGGTGCCCTGGAGCTGGAGTTACGGGGAGTTGTGAGCTGCCTAACATGGATACTGGGACCCGAACGTGGGTTCTCTAGAAGAACAAGTATTCACCAGTCCCAAATAATAAAATTTAATAAGAATTTAAGTACACTAAGTAGAGAACTGCCAATGGGAAGCCAGGGGAAGCAGTGGGGGACAGTTGCAGAAGGCCAGGAAGACTGGTGTGGATTATGAGTAAATTGGTCATAAATAACAGATCTATCATCTTTTACATAAATGGATTCTAGTGTCTTTTGTGCATATTTACTTGTTACTAGGGACCCAGGGCTTTGCACACACACCACCACTTGCTACACCTTTAGCCTACTTTTATATCAACTTGAAGTCTTCCAAAATGAAGTTTAAATGCATATGCTAAATGCAAAGTGGTATCCTGGCTTGAACACAGAAACAGGTGAAATCCAAATGAAGTCTGGAGTTTTATGGAAGGTTTTACACCAGCCATCCTTTGGTTTTCGTGAAATGCACCACCATTTGGTGAATGTTGGGGAAGCAGAGTGAAGCTTGGGATCATGACAGGTCTTCTGTGCACTTAAAATGTCAAAGTAAAAACTTCAAATGCAAATGCAGTGACCTGGGAGGCTATGAGGACAGCCTCTGCAGGGCTCAGTCTGGGCTGAATCCCAGTTCTGGTACCTGATGCTGGGTATGGGAAGTTCCCATCAGCTGCTGATTGTAAACGACCGAGTGGTTCAGCAAACTTAGATCAGGGAAGCTCTCCCAATGCTAGCAGTCCCGGAGTTATTGGCCATCCACGCCATTCGGTGAAGTCTCACCGACAAACCCTCTCCCTCACTGCAGGATGGCCCAAACCCAGGTTCCAGCCATCAGCTGTTGACTAGGCCTGCTTCAGCCCTTGTCATCCCCCAAGAACTGGGAGACTGAAACTGCTATACAACAAACTACCTTCAATTCGTAGCTTAAAATTTGGATTGATTGCTTCCTCAAAGCCTGTAACCAGCTCGTCTGGGTACTTTAAGACACTACCATGCCTAGACTCTCAGTGACAGCAGGAATCCTCCGCCTCCTTTTGTGGATTTTCCCCTTCCTTGCATCTAAGCATAGCCTGTCGTCTTGACCTTGGGGCCTTTTTATATACAGGCCACCATTTCGATCTTGTTGGCTCACCCCTGTCCAACTTCCAGACTGTTCCTACTCCTATGCTCACATTCCGGAAGCACCAGCCCTGGGTGGATCCAACTGGTGAAGGGTGCAAGGCCTCTCCACAGCTAAGGTCCCTCCAAACTCGCCCCAGCTGGCTCCCTGGCACAAGTAAGCGGCACTAGGTCCTCCCATTCAGGGCAGGCTCTCCCTCTGTATAGTTGCTGAGAATAAGACCAGAGGTGGGAAAGGGTGCTGGGTGGAGAGCCTGGGGTCTCTTAGGCCAGCTCGTCAGCGTAACCAGAGACTTCCACAGGCCTGGACTCCTCTCCAAGGTCTTTGGACCCAATAATCTATATCTCTAGGCAGCCAGGATACTCTAGTCTTGGTGGAAACCTTTGGAAACAAGGCAGATCAGGCCTCCTCCCCAAGGAAGCAGATATGCTGTGGAATAATCTTTTGTCACTTGGTTTAATAAAAAGCTGACTGGCTGGTGGCTAGACAGGAAATACAGACAGGACAGCCAGCCACAGAGGAGGCTGCGAAAGAGGGCGGAGTCAGAGTTGCCTCTCCAAATGCCCCAAGTCTTGGGGCAACACATAGATTAATAGAAATGGTTAAGTTGTAAGAGCTAGTTAGTCATATATTAAGTCTCTGTGTGGTAATTTGGGAGTGGGCTGGTGGGATAGGAAAACTCCACCTACACAGACAGCCTTTTATAACAGAGAAAAAGGCAGAAAGGCAAAAACACTATGTGGCTACTCTTCATTGTTAACTTGGCTGACATTTAGGAACACACATTTGGGTATGTCTGAGGAAATTCCAGGGGTTTAAAAGGGAAGGCCCACTGTAAATACAGGTGGCATCAACCCCTTGGAGAGCCCAGACTGAATGAAAAGCACTAGCAGCCCTCATCCTCTGCCTCCTGATGGCCTCATTTCTGCCATACCTTCTCTAGCACAGACCAGGAGCCAATGTAGCCCCTTCGCCGTGTAAATCACTTCTTGGTCCTAGGAGTGAGAAAAGTACGAACAAGCCCAGAGGTGAGGCAGGTGCAGCTCTGTGAGAACCTACCTGAGCATGGGGCTCAGACACACAGACAGGGGTGAGGCAGGTGCAGCTCAGTGAGAACCTACCTGAGCATGGGGCTCAGGCATAGACTATAGGAGGTAGAGTGGGAAGAGCAGGGCCTGTCCCCAAGATCCCTTGCATAAGAGCAGGGAAGTGTCTGAACTGTGGTGTGCTGGCTCGGTCATGTCTTCAGATGTTATTTCTTGCCCTACTGAAGAGGGTGTGACTCTTAACCTCCCACGGGTTCATCAAACCTCCAACCTCCAACCCAAGGACACTCATGCAAGCTATTCAACACTTCCTGATCTAGACATTAGGCTCAGCATCTCCCTCTTCAAGCTCACGACTGATCACCAGTTAGGGACCATGCTCTACCCACTGAACCTAACCAAGGGAGGCAACAGCCTGGGCAATTGATGCCACAACCTCAGATATATGGCCCCAGGGCTAAGTAGCCTTCTGAACACTGGCCAGGGTTGGGAGGTTCTGCCAGCCCTCTCCTTAGTAATGGTCTTACCTAACGGCTGGCTCAGCTTAAAGCAGCATCTCCTTGGAGGCCCAGAGCCACCCATGGCCCCAGCCAAGTACCGTACGGCTGTGAGGCATTAAGACAAAGCTGAATGCACCATTCCAACAGCCTCTCCAAACCAGTCTCCATCCACCCACACCATGAGTTCTTGGGAGCTTTGCGGAGACACCCACTGGGCAAAGCTGGTAACTCTGAGGACAAAGGTCCACATGCCTTTATGTCAACTGAAGCCACTGAGGCACTTCAAGCAAGGCCTAGAAGGCAGAGTCAGCTGCATAGGGAGAACGGCATTTTATTGTGGAAAGAATGTACCAACAGGGGATGAGAAAAGGAACACTCCTAGCCACACCCCCTATCCTAAGCAGGGGTGAGATGAGGCCAGGCCTGCTGAGAGCTTGGGAGAAGCTAACAGGGCTCCTTGTGGCATTGGGGACAGGACAGACAGGCCTAGGAGTGGGACTTTGTTCTGTTAGCACCAGGAACTTCACGAAGCTAGACCTGGGGACAGGATATAGTGTGTTACTTCCGCTGCCACTGAGTAGTCTGAGGGGCTGACAGCAGACGACTTCCTGAAGCTGATCACCTGAATGTGATTTCGAGGCATACCTCACCCCCCCCCCACCCTAGCCCCTGTAAACATGAAAACAGGCTTGTGCCCTCTAAGCCCCTTCAGGACAGAATGAGGGTCCGAGATGAGCGGCTGGGCTTTAAGCGGCCCAGGAGCTGCCGGGCTTTCTCTTGCATGAAGAGCTGGTCTTTGGTGCCTCCACAGGCCACCATCTTCCAGGCGCTGGTCATCTGGTAGGAGGTGAGAGGGTAAGCTCAGTAACAAACCCTGGTGGTCCTGGCTAGTAAGGGTGGGGACATTTCTAGGACCCTCCCTCTGGATGCCGGAACCCGGCCTATGCTCCCTCCATTTTCTTTGGTGGTCTCGGGGAAGTCATGCCCCATCTGTGGGCTCAACAACAGTGAAGCAGGAGGCTGAGGCAGGGGAAATGCACAGCACCCGTTGGCCTCATGAGAAGCCACGGCTGGGCAGATGAGGACACTGGGATGCAAGGGCCCAGACCAGCTGCTGTCAATGACAGAGCACTAAGCAAACCAAACACAGGTATTGACCCGGTGACAGGTTAAGTCCAGGCCCCAGCAAGGAAACGGGGCTGGGCACATCTAGGCAGGGGAGATCAGGAATGGCTTCCCATAGGAAGTAGCATTTGGGCCAAGATCATAAAAGTTAACCAGGCAAACGGCCACAGGAAGCACTCACAGGGGCAGGGGCTGGAATGTGGCTCCGGGCCTTCTGGGTGGCCACCACCTTCTCAGGTTTGGCCTGCAGGAAGCCCTGGTTGAGCAGGCTGTTGTCCTCTTTGATACCTGGCAGAGTGAAGCTAGAGGAACTGGATGGGACACTTGTTGGCTGAAATCAAAACCCAGTTAGTCACCACTTTGCCACAAGATCTTTGCCAGGAGAAAACAAAATAAAACAGAAACACAACCTGGTATCCTGGCACCCCACCCATACCCCACCCGCGCTGCTGAGATCTAGAGCAGAATATTCATTCTCTGAGCCTCAGTTCCCTTTCAGATATGGAGTTTAAACACGATCCCTTTAATCTTAAAAGATTAAAGGAGTATCTGTGAACTGATCATTTTAGAGCCCAGCAATGCCAGCTCCTGTCACGTGAGGCCCCACATGGTGCTCCAGGCTTCCTGGTCCAGAAACACTCAAAAGCATCAAGTGGAATGTGCCCTGGGCCCATAAGTACCCTGCTCTGCTCACCGGCTTGCCGTCTTAATGTTCCACTTGGGGCCCAGGGCCTAGGAAGCCAAGACCACAGGCTAATTATTTCCCATACCCATCTCCACAGCAGAGCTCATCTCCACAGTCCTCAACTCACTCAGAGTGAGTGAGGCCCTGGCCTCAACCCCCAGCACTGCTTAAAACAAAACAAAGTATGTGCCTCAAATAGAGGCGACCGAAGTTCTGACCGAAGGGAGCAAGTCCCCCCACCTGGCAGTGCTCCCTGGAAAAGGCTTTTCTAGAAGGACAACAGCACTACCTCTAAGATCTGTTTAGCAATCACACCCTTCATTCGTGCTCCCGGCCCCTCCTCACTGCCTCTACTGGTGCCAGGTCCAAAGGTAACTCCAATTCCCCAAACTCCAGAAGGCAGTCCAAACACCCTGAAATGGGCTTGACCTAGACTATAAGAGGACTTCTGGCAGTTAGATAAAAGCCAGCATTGCGTTCGAGGCCAGCCTGGGCTACCAAGTGAGTCCCAGGAAAGGCGCAAAGCTACTCAGAGAAACCCTGTCTCGAAAAACCAAAAAAAAAAAAAAAAAAAGCCAGCATTGCCCCGGAACTTGTGAAGCCGGTTCCCCTCTACCAAAAGGAGCCATTTCCCTTACTGTTGGCAGAAGGGGCCTATGGCTACCTGTGGTGCCTATCAGTAAAGCAAAGCTTCTTTATGCCGGGCTCCAGGCTCCCTCAGCATCACAAGGACCTGTTACTCATTCAGAGCCCATGCTAGCTAGCATCTTAGCCCTTCTCATCTCCTCTCTCACCCCAAATCCCAGTTCCCTCCTGGCAGCTCCTCCTCCTTCTCCTTCTAACCCTCTTGTTCTCACTGTTTTCTCTATTCTCTATCCCCTTCTATCCTCCCCTCTCTCGCGGACAGCCCTGGTCATCATGTCTAGTCTATGTCTATGTTCAGCCTATACTTTCTCTGCTCTGGACTCTTCCAAACGTCTCTGGCTATTCTCTCACACATCTACAAAAAAAAAAAAAAAAAAAAAAAAACCCTTCCCATTAACCATACAATGGAACTGCCATGCTATCAGTTTATACACCAGGTCAAGCCAGGCCACATCCCATCAGCTCCAAGTAGCACCAGTAGCACAGCACCTGGGCTCTTAAAGGGGTGAGCTCTACGCCCAGAGGAGCAAGGCTGGCCTGTAGGCCAGAGAGGAGCTGCTCAGGGCTGATGTGCCTCAACCACTCAGCTGTGCTTGGGGCACATGTGGTTGACACTCAGTGGGAAGGGTGGTGCCGGGGGGCCAAAATTTTCTAGCAATATGACTCCTGTCAAATAAAGCCTAGGAAAGACACATCGGAACTCTTAAAGTGAAATTCAGCCTGGGTGCCCAGATCTGCCATCTCCTGCCAATCTTCCTTACACCAGGCCCAACCAGAGAACCAGAAACTCCTCCCTATAACTAGACAGCTGCAGAGGAAGGTTCCTGAAGCCCTGTAAGGCAGGTAGTCATGTCAGCCCCTTACCAAGGACAGAGCTTTGGGCAGTGTAGACATCAGCTTCCCATCTTCATCCACAATGTCAAGAGCCAGAGACTTTCGGACTTTCTTGATAGGGCTTCGTCGCAGCTGAGGGTTGGGAAAGAAAAGGATGGTTAGCGTGAGCAATCAGGTTTGCCATGGCCAATGCCTCAATGGCCATGGTCACTGAATCAGGACTTTCAAGAGTGGAATCTTCAAGGCATAGCTAGCAGGTCTTGCTCTTGTGATATGGGAAGACCAGGAGACCTTGGCTACACTGGACTCTGACCCAGGCGGTCCTTACCCTGCCAGACACTGTGGGTCCTTCCCAGCCTCACTGCCTGGCTTTGACTACCATCTCTCCCTAGGGAGAGCAGTCTAGGAAAAAGCACAAAAGCAAGGAGCTCTGAAGTGCCGCCTGTGGCTAGAGGAGCTGGACAGTGCAATGGGAAGGAAGCAGGCCCTGATCTGATATCTCACCAGGTGGCTCTGTGAATCCCACCTCACCTGATGGAAACCCCACACACTGCTTTCACGGCCAAGGTACCCACCTCTTCCTAGCTCACTACCATCTGAAAGGAACACTTGGAACCTGTTCCCCTCTACTCCCTTCTTCCCACATGAATTCAGATGGCCATGAGGTGTGCTGCATGCCCGTCTCCATCCACTGAGCTCTGTAAGTCTCACCCGACCACTACTGCGCCCCCCACCTCAGCCCAAGCCCACTTCAGAAGGGTCCATTCACAATGGCGAATGAGTGAGGGCATCATTCATAGCACAGGAGGAAAGGTACTTCCCGGGTCCTCCCTGACCTCAGGGCTGACTTCATATGCCAACTGCCCAGGCAGAGTAAGGGTCCTCAGGCCACTCACCCCAGGCTTTCTTTTCTGCTTCTCAGGCCTCACATCATCCTCAATGATGAGCTCAATGCCGGCCTCCGAACGTAGCACTTCCTTCAAGTCTTCTTCCAGGTGAGGAGTCTGGGGCTGTGGATGGAGGCAAGGGTGATCCTCATGAGGCCCACTCAGGCCGTGTAGGTCTGAGAGAGGTAGACAGTACTAGCTAGGCAAGCAAAGGGAGCCTACACCAGGACACTGACTTCACAAGCATTGTTCATAACCATGAATAGTCCTGCCTTGGACAAATGAAGACCCTGACCCCGAAGGCCTACACGTCTAGAGGCGCAGCCTTACACTCCCACACAGCCCCATCTTCATGTCTATAGAGTAAAAACTCGGGCTCATACCAAGAGCCTGACTCAGGCCACAGCAGTTATTATAATACAGATGCTTGGGCTGGAGAGATGGCTCAGCCGTTAAAGGCTAGGCTCACAACCAAAAATATAATCCAGATGCTTGAGCCTGGCCTTCCCCAAAGTCCCAGCTACTCATGGGTCGAGGCAGAAGCATCACTTGAACCCAGGAAATTCAGACAGCACCTGTCTATAACCACAGCACTGTGTGCCAAGGCAGGAGGAATCAGTCTGGGCAAGTTCAAGGATAGTCTTGAGAGTGTGTTGGTTAGTTTTCCATTAACTTGACACAAACTAGAGTCACCTGAGAGGAGGAGACCTGACCTGAGAAAATGTTTCCAAACAGAAGGGGCGTAGGCAAATCTGTGAGGGAATTTTCTTGGGGGGGCCCACTGTGGGCTGTGCCCCGCTTGGGAAGGGAGTCCTGGAGTGTGTAAGAAAGCAACTGAGCAAGCCATGAGGAGCAAGACAAGTACAGAGCATTCCCCCATGGCCTCTGCATCAGTTCCTGCCTCCAGGTTCCTGCCCCGACTTCCCTCCGTGATGGACTTCCAACTGTAGGCTGAAATAAACCCTCTCTCTCTTAAGTTCTTTTGGTCAGTGTTTTACCACAGCAACCGAAACCCAAGACACTGGGCATCACAGACAAAAGCTATCTCCAAAACAAAGAACCTACATACACCAAACACCCAGGCTCCTTCTGTCCTTGTTCCACACTAACTGGGACATTAGGGTGTGTTTCCATTGCTCAGGCTCAGAAGCTCCAAGCAACCTCTCCAACCTCGGGTAGCAAAGACTAGGAGAGAGTGAACTCCTCAGTGACACTTCAAATGCCATACAAAAAGCCCTTGAACACAAACTGCACCTGCCAAGAACAAGCCTGATAGGTGACCTAGTTCAACAGACAGCATCCCTACTCTAATAAGGGGCAGCAGTAACTAGTAATCGTGACTCTGCCACATGTACCAGTCCCTAGAAACCCCACTTAACCTAGAGTCAACAAGATAACCTTTACCTTTGCTGAGCCCTTCCTTCCCTCCTCCCCATAAAGTGCAGACGGGCTCATCATCTCCTTGCCTCGGCATCCTGAGTGCTGGATTATAGGCATGGACCACCATACCTGGCTTCCACCTTCCCACCTTTACCTTTTAAATAGGGTCTCATGTTGCTCTGGCTAGCCTCAAACTTTCTAGGCAGCTGAGCATGACCATGAACTTTTGATCTGCCTGCCTCCTCCAGCTGCCAAGTACAGGCATTACAGGTGTGTGTCACTATGCATGTCTTGAACCTTTTCTTTACAGTAAGCTCTTTAGTTATTTAGGTTGCATGTGTTTTAATGCTCACATCCCCTGTCCTACACACTGTTTCACCAAGATACCACTAATTCTGCCACCAGCCAGTGTCTGCCTGCCTAACACACTTAAGGTACTCAGGAAATGCAGATGAGGTGACAAAGAGAAATTGTACCTTATTAGACTATAGAGACCTCAGAGAGAAAGGTCTTACGTGAATCCACCCCACAGAGACTCACAGAAGCCATGTCACATACCAGGGGCTTCAGTGGTCCGTACTTCTCCAGGGCATTCTTGAACGGGGTTGGCGTGTGGGGAGTGTTGTCCATGGAGTACTTCTGATCTGGGGTTACAAACCTGCCACAGGCCAGAGGAGGCTCAGCAAAAGGACAGAGCAGACTCCCGCTTTCCTGGTCATGACCAGTGACCCCCAAACCCCCACATACTCTTTCATTGGTCCAATGGAACCTGCTTACCTTCCCGCACAAGTCTAAGTCAGGGTCCTAGAGGAAGGGCTATCCTCAGATAAAGGACAGGAAAGTGGGGAGGAGACCGTGACAATGCTAGAGGGTGCTGCCCCATCGAAGTACAGTTTGGGAACTTCCCAGAGACGAGGCAGGCCCGGAAAGGCCACAAACCTGTGTGCCTTCTCTACAGAAAGTATGTGATACTAGGTACAAGGCGGAGCAGCCACGATCTCCACAGGTCCTTTCAAATCACCGTGGTAGGGGCAGAAATGCGGGAAGAACTTATCTGCAGTTCCTCCATGTTCTCACTCTGTCTGCCCACAACTCAGGGGCCATGCTGCTCTTTACACAAAGGCATGCTGCTACCTTTTAGCTTTGGTACCTCCCTTCTACTAAGCCACAACCTCTATGACATGAGGGAACACGTTCTGGGCATGGTGACACACACCTGTGACACCAGCACTTGGAAGGCAGAAGCAGAAGACAGTAAGTCACAGTCACTCTCAGCTACATGCTATGTCTGAGGCCAGTGTAGGACACGGGAGAGCCTGTCTCAAACAGTAACACACCCCCAAACACAGGATGCGTGAAATAAAACCCCTTCTAGCAACAAAGCCCCACCAATTTGGAATTTAAGTCGAAATAATTCTTGCCTGGTGTGCCTTAGAAAGCATCACAAAGAATCTTTGGAAGAGTATCAAAAGAATTTGTGATAATAATCCGCACTTATAAATAAGGCAAAATTTCCACCTCTTGTCAAAACGAACAGCAAGAAGCAGATGTGCCCTCTCACAACAGAAAACAGATGAACAGTGGTGGTGGCGATTTGTGATACTGGGCAACTGCGGAAAGTGATCTGAGGGCTATTCCAGTTAATTATCTATCTCCGAACCACAAAATAGGGAGAGGACATCCAGGTGGAGCCTAGCGGTCACATGAGCTGCAGAGAGTGACATACAGGCCTGGGGATGTCACTCAGTCTCATCAGCCACATTGGATGAGTTCTATTCCTTCTTTTTTTTTTATTGAGATGGGGGTCTCACTATTGTAGCCTTGGTAGGCCTGGAACTTGCTATGTAGACCAGGATGGCCTTGAACTCACAGAGTTCTACCTGCCTCGGCCTCCTGAGTACTGGGATTAAAGGCACGAACCACCATGGCCACCTTGCTCTGTCCTTAATAAATCCTTTAAAAGACTCACTTCTTTTTTTTTTTTTTTTTTTTTTTTTTTGGTTTTTTTTGAGACAGGGTTTCTCTGTGTAGCTTTGGAGCCTGTCCTGGAACTCACTCTGTAGCCCAGGCTGGCCTCGAACTCACAGAGATCCGCCTGCCTCTGCTTCTGCCTCCCGAGTGCTGGGATTAAAGGCATGAGCCACCACCGCCCGGCAAAAGACTCACTTCTAAATAACCTAGCTGCACCACAGAACAAAATGTAATATACACAAATACAAAATTACAAAGCAGTAAGATCGACAACACAGGCCTCTAATCACATTCGACTGGGCAGAAGGAAAATGCCAGGTCTGCCATGGTTCAGCATCCCTGCTAAAGGGCTCAGATGTGAAGTCCAGGATTCTTGTCTGAATGTAAGAACTACTCACAACACTATCGCTACCAGATTGAGTGACTTCTAACCAGTGGATTTTAATAAATTGCTTCTGAAAAGTCATCTCATTACCTTGTGCAAAATTCCTTAACTAGCTCCTTCAACAGAGAGAGGAGCATCTACCCAGAATTCCACTGTGCCACAAGAAGTAGGCACACTGTAAAAGCCCTTCCTCCAGCAGACTGAGGCCAGACACAACTGCACTCACTGCTCTAGGCTCCTGAGTCAGATAGAGCCCAAGGTGCACTTCCAAACACATCTGATCCATACTTGATGCTATCAAAAGAGGGAAAATATTAGCTTTTTTGTGGCAATTTGAACACTGTTTCTGAGATCCAGGGCTATCAAGTTAAAAAATAAAAGTAAGGAAAAAGAAGGTAAAGAACCAGGCTCTTCAGACAAGGAAAATGCGGTACGGTGTCCACGCCCCAGGATCCGAGCACCTCCCCTTTGTCCAGGGTGGGCAGGTGGCCGGTGGAACTCACGATGGGTACTTCTGGTGCAGGGGCGTCTTATCCCTGTGCAGGGGTGTGGTGACCACCACCTTTTGGCTGCACACCGGAGTGGACGTCAGTGAGGGCTCCAGCTCCAGGGTATCCTGTTTGTTCCAGAAGTTCAGAAACTGCCAGGGAAGAAGAGATAGAACACATGACAAGATGAGGCCTTTGATGGACAGAGGAACAGATCCTCAGACACCCCTCTCCATGCCTGTTCTTTAAGTTGAGGTCTTGTCCTGACCTGTAGGACACCAACAAAGACTTCTTTCAACTCAGTCCTTCTGTCTTTCCTCTACCATCTACCATCCAGCGAGGCCCTGCAGCTTTCTCAATGCAAGGAATTCCTCTACCCCTGGGAGTCCCCTGGATTCCTAGTTATCAACTTGATGGTGTTTACAATCACCATGGGAACAAACCTCTGGGCCTGTCGGCAAGGGATTTTTCTAGATTAGGTTAAACGAGATGGGGATGACCGACCCTAATGTGGGCAGTGCCAGTCCATAGCCCGGGGTCTTGGACTGAATAACAAGCAAAAAGGGAGCCGAACAGGACATCATCCCGCCTCCTGACTGGCTGCAGTGTGACTGGCCGCATGACGTCCTTGCCATGGTGGACTACACCTTGGAACCGCAGCCAAAATAAAGCTGTCAATTTCTTCAGCTGCTTTCATCAAGTGTTTTGATGGGACACAGCAACAGGACAAGTGACTTGTCCTTACCCAGCCCCACTCCCAGCACCACGGCCTCTTCTCCATTTTATCACCCATCTGTGTATACCCAGAGTGCATGCTTCCTTCCGGCAGGACCAGGTCTGGTTCTGCTCACCTAGACTGGGTCCCTAGCACCAAGCACAGGCAGATACTCAGTGAATACTAGTGTGGACCTGTGCCAGGCCCTGGAGCACTAGGTGTTTATAGGTGGAAACCAAGGTAGCCAGAGGGACCCACACACCTGGGAAGGAGAGAAGGGAAGGGTTTTGACAGGTGTGCTCTTGGGGGTAAGACTGTTACAGGAGTCCAGGAAGGACAGGCTGGCACTGTTTTCCGTGACAGGCGACAGGGCCACACGCCGTTTCTTTTGTCGCTTGAGTACTGAGGGTGGTGTGCCAATGCCTGAGCCCCCAACCTCAGTGCTGGGGGAAATGGGGATCAGTTCCCCGCGGCTGCCCCGGCTCAGGTCTGAAATAGTGTGGCCATCGAGCCGATACTCAGTCATGCTGGGCCCTGGTGTGGCGGTCTGTCGGGAGAAGAGTGCCTGTTGCTGCTGCTGTGATGTCTGGGGCTGCACTGGGCTGCTGTTGACACTGCCCTCGGCAGACGCTTCTTCAGGAAGATCAAATTTACTCAGGTCACACCAAGCATCAGGGTCCTGCCAGAAAGGGGGGTTAGAATACAGCAGGACTTCATTCATTATAGGAAAATACACCAGTATCAAATTCAGTCTCTCATCTCTGGGATCAGTCTTTACCACTTACATTTCATTTCCTCAATGTTCTACATATACTAAAGTTTGAACGGGATGCTTGCCCATCAACAGCTTTACAATCCCCATAGCAACCTATAAGAAGCATGACTTTGCTTTTTAATTAATTCATTGCATTTATTTATACGTGAGTGTCAAGGACAACCTGAAGGAGTTAGTTCTCTCCTCCTGCTATGTGGGTCCTGAGGACTGAACTCAGATGGTCAGACTTGGTGGCAAGTGCCTCCATCTGCTGAGCCATCCCACTGGCTCCCTTCCTGCTTTTACATCAAGGAATCCACAGTAAGCTCCGAAGAGCACAGAGAATTACCACACATCCTCTTTACCCAAAGCCTTCTGCAAACAGAAGGTTCCACTTTGATCCTGGAGGTGTGGCCTGTGTAGATCCAGAGGCAGCTCATTCCTGAGAGGAGACACTAGCTTGCAGCTAGGCTGACCTCAGACCCACACCCTGACCTCAGAGATCGGAGGTCCAGGAAACTGATGGCATCTTGGAACTAGGAAGCTTATCCTGCAGGAATGCCTGGGAAGGATGCTGGGGGAGATGGGGAGTAGGTTTTGTAGATCCTTTCCCTGATCTTCCCCACTCCAGCAGGAGGAAACCATAAAAGAGTCTGAGTCACATGTCAGGATTTAACTCCTAGCTGATACAGCCTAAAACTGGCTATCACATCAGAGGGGTGGCCCCACCCACAGGCTCTCAGACAAGGTCATTGTTTAGCTATTTTCTCAGAAATGACACATTCCCTCCTAGAGGAAAGTTACAAGAGCCACGAGGCCCCTCCCTGCAGTTTTAAAGCTGTAAATAACTGCTGGTGGAGAAGAGACTCTGCCCTGAGAGTTGCATGCACATTGGGCTGGGAGCTCCAGCGATACTGCCGGAGTCTATCACTCATGCTGGGTCAGCTGTCTAGTGATGCGGCAGTCTTGTGGGATTACAGGATACCCACAATCCTCTAAGTATATCCAGGAACTCATTAGTTCAGCATGCTAGAGCTGTGTGGAATCGTTCTTTGATCTGCCCTTGGTACCGCATCTGGGTAAACAGGTACTTGTCTCCCCAGGAAAAGCCACATAAGAAGCACAACCTCCAACACCGAATCACAGCATGGCCTTGGGCTGAGCAGCCAAACCACGTGCTGCTCCAGAGGCAACCAGAACTCCCGGCACTTCCAGTGCCCTTCTCCAGTGAGACCTAACCATATGATGCCAATTCACTGCCCTCTGAGAATCCTTTTCACCCCATTCCATGCTGTAGGGCAAGGATTGCAATGACCTCACTGGTGTTTCTAGCCTGCTCAGAGCTGTGCGACTTCATCGGTCAATAAATGCTTAAAAAAAAAAGGCAAGTTCACAAGAGAAGTGCTGGGACCAACATACCGACTCTATCAAGTCCAGGGCTTCGGAGAGGCTGGACCCTACAGCAGGGATGAGGAGGTTTGCCGCCTCTACCACCCATTTGTAGGGCAGGCTGGTTTCTGGCGAGGAGTCCTCCTGATATTCACGCTTGAGGGATTCCGGGGGCTCTGGGGTATGCACTTCTCCCAGATCAGGGGGGACAGGCTCATGTTCCTGCTCTTTTGCAGAAGCAGCAGCTGCTGCAGCCTCCTCCTCACTGCTCTCCTCCTCCTTCACAGTAGAGGGCGCCAGGGGCCAGCCGGTCACAAGACTTCCCTGTCAGATTCAAGGCACACCGTCATTTTTGTTGAAACAGACTATGCTGTAAGTTTCTATCTAAAAACACATAATACAAATCAAACATAAAGGAAACTAGGATGAAGAGAAACTGAGAGACATTCCAACTATACTGTACATTTGAAAAATATCAGTATGACACGTGCTAATGAGACTTACGGATAAATAACTGATTGCGGATTGTCCATGGGAGAGTGGAACATGGACTACAGATGAGACAGAGGTCCTGAATCAGTGCCGGCCATGGTAGCACTTGTTATCCCAGAACTTGGAAGGCCAAGTAGTGAATTCTACAACAGCATGGGCTACAGAGGTGGCTCAGCAGATAAGGATGCTTGCAGCTGGGCGGACAACCTGACTTTGATCCGTAAGACCCATACCATACGACAGAGAAAACAGATGCTATCCTGACTTCCACACACATCATGATGCTTGCACACATGCACACACACGGTTTTTAAAGCAACAAAAATGTTTTAAAATGTTTAAAGCAAGCAAACAAAACAAACCATTTAGGCACACATGTTGGTTTGTTGAGACAAGGTTTCTCTAACAGCCCTCAGAGATCCGCCTGCCTCTGCCTCCCGAGTGCTGGCATTAAACGCATGGGCAACTATGCCCGGCTACACACACACACACACACACACACACACACACACACACACACACACACACACACACGCGCGCGCTTTTTAAAAAATGTTTTGTTTTTTTTCTATAAACTTCTTTTTTTTTTTTGGTTTTTCGAGACAGGGTTTCTCTGTGTAGCTTTGCACCTTTCCTGGAACTCACTTGGTAGCCCAGGCTGGCCTCGAACTCACAGAGATCCGCCTGGCTCCGAGTGCTGGGATTAAAGGCGTGTGCCACCACCGCCCGGGCACGAGATCTCATTACAGATGGTTGTGAGTCACCATGTGGGTGCTGGTAATTGAACTCAGGACTTCTGGAAGAGCAGTCAGTGCCCTTATCCTCTGAGCCATCTCTCCAGCCACTAAAAAAAATGTTTTTTTAAAGCAAGCCAACAACAAATTGTTACCACCACCACCAGGTTCAGAATCAATGTGGAAGTCCCTGAATTAGAAGCAGACATACCATGAGCATAAGTGAATACCTTTATCTTAGGAAATACAAGCAGAAGCACAGAGCCTCCAGGGGATAAAAATGTAGTTAACTCTCAGTTTCTCTTTCTTTTCTTTTTCTTTTTTGAGGCAGGATTTCTATGTAGTCCCAGGTGGCTTTTAAGTCTCTAAATAGATCAGTCTCTGCTTTCAGGGTGCTGAGACTAAAGGTGTGGGCCCAGGCACCCAGCCCTAAATGAAGTAAATCCTAAATGGACACACAGAGTAATACAGTAAGTTAATGCAAATGAGGCAAACGGGAAAAATGAGCTAAGCCTTCGAGCTGCAGGTGTGGGAGGGTGCTTACCTAGCATAGGCAAGGCCCTTTGGGAATGGGATGGGATTGGAACCAATCCCAAGTATACATAGAACTCCTAGTACTATTCCTGAAACTCTACTGAATGCTTCTCCCAACATGTGACAGAAAAATAGAAATTGAGGAAAATCCTTCACAGTTATAATTCTCAAAGCACAACCTAGGAAATGAGCCCAGCCCAGGATTCCCACAAATTTGAGGTCAGACTAGGCTACACGAGACCGGCTCAAAAAGCAAAAGCTGGACTGGCATGATAGTTCAGTGGATAAGGGCGCTTGCTGCCAAGCCTGATGTTTGTTCGTTGGGACCCACATGGCAGGAGAGATCTGCAAGCTGTCCTCTCACCTCTACCTGCACAGCGTATGAACACCCCTTCCCCAACACACACACACACACACACACACACACACACACACACACACACACACACACACACACACACACACACACACACGAGAAAAACAAATGCAATAAAAAACTGAAAACAAGGGGCTAGAGAGATGACTCAGGAGTTAAGAGCACTGACTGCTCTTCCAGAGGACCTGGGTTCAATTCTCGCACCCACATGGCGGCTCACAACTGTCTGTAACTCCAGGATCCAACACCCTCATACTGACATATACACAGGCAAAACACTAATGCACTTAAGATAAAAAAATAAATCATTAAAAAAATGAGAACAAAAGCAGACAAACAATTCACCTGGAGAGGAAGGGGTGAGACGAAGGTTGAGCTGGTCTCCTGTGTTCTGGTCCCTGTGGGGCTGAGACCCAGCGGGCACGGCCAGCCCTTCAGACAACACTCCAGTGTAAAGGAAGAAAGGGGCACCAATAAACTGACTTCCTGCAGAGCAAGCAGGTCTTCAGCAGTACCACTCCCCCTCATGCTCTCGGCTTCCCTGGTGGACGGTTTTTCTTTCCCTCAGAAATCTCAGGTGGAAAGCATGCTGCCTAGATAAGCAGGACACTGCCAGCAGCAGACTTCTTTGGTGAGGGGACCTTCAGGGAGTCAGGACTAGAGATGTCCACTTTCTTCCATCCTTCTCTACAATTTCAATTTCATATCACATCCCCCTACATAGCTGCAGTTGACATCAGGGGATCAGATTCCCAGAAGTTGGAATCCCAAGAAATAGAGGCAAAAACGTGCTCTAACTCTCTAGTAGGGCGGTGTAGAGCTGGAATAAGCAAGTTCCCTCCAAGCAGTAAGAGGGGTACAAAACAGACATACCCATCAGTGACCAGCTCAGCTCACAGACAGCACAAGACAATGCAGGGGCTGTTCACTGAATTTAACTCCAATCTTAATTTTTAAAAAATAAATCAGTTCCTTGACCTTTTAGTTAAGATTGAGTGTAAAAAAAACAAATTACTGGAGACACAGTTTAATAGTGTGGTGGCTATTCGGTTATCAACTTGACTACATCTGGAATTAACTAAAACCCAAGCAGCTGGGTACACCCGTGAGGGATTTTCTTAATTAAATCATTTCAAGTGGGTGGAACCACGTTAGTCTGGCCCACCCTTCGGTGACAGCCTACATAAGGACGGGAAGAAGGAAGCTTTTGCTCTTTGCCTGTCTGCTCTCGCTCTCACTCTCCCTGGCAAGTCCATTCCTTCACTGGCATTAGTCTACTTCTTCAGGATTCTGCTGTAACTCAAGACCAGCTGGGATATCCAGCCTTGTAAACTGAAGAACTACTGGATTCTTGGGCCTTCTGTTGGTAGACAGCCATTGGTGGACTAGCTGGACCACAGCCTGTACGCCATTCTAATAAATCCCCTTTCTATATTTATAAATAGACAGACAGATTCTATAGGTTTTGTTCCTCTAGAGAACCCTACCTAATACAGCTTTTGGTACCAGAAATGGTTCTAGAACAATAGAAGTATAAGGATGAATGTTTTAAGTATCTGAACAGGCTTTGTAATTTGCCAACACCTACAGCTATCCTCCCACCCCCCCCACCCCCTGCCAAGCTGAGGACCGAACCCAGGGCTAGCAAGCGCTCTACCACTGAGCTAAATCCCCAACCCCCACCTACAGCTATTAAAGCCTTTCCAGTTACTGACATCTCTCCTAGAAGCGCAGAATGTATTGGAAGCCCATGATGTGAACTATTTTATAAACTTAAGAAGACAAATACATTTGATTATTCTGATTCACCAATAGTGAGAGACAATGGATTTGGAGATTTTATAAATAAGGAAAATGATGATGCTGGTAGGTTGCTCCTAACATCTCTAGATAAATTGACAAAGGAAAAGAATGTGCTCTGTTCTGTGATAAAATTACATTTCCAACATCTCAGAATTTGATAGAGGACAACAATGAACTAAGTGGTAAACTGACCGACTCCAGATGCACATAACAGTCTAAAGCAGTGGCTCTCAACCATCCTAACCTTTGACCCTTTAACACAGTTCCTCGTGGTGTGGTGACCCCCAACCACAAAATTGTTTTTGTTGCTACTTCGTAACTGTGATTTTGCTACTGTTATGAACAGTAATGTAGATATCTGTGTTTTCCGATGGTCTTAGGCGACCCCTGTGAATGTTTACCCCACACCGAAAGGTCTCGACCCACAGGCCTAAATGTTTCTCAGTGTGCTCTTGAAGAAAATCTCTCCAGCAGCCACAGGCTCCAGCTGTGGAAAACCAAGCTAAAGCAAGCCTCACTCTAATGGCTGAATTACAAAAAAATTTAAGAGTTCAAGGCCCAGCCTTGGAAGGTGTCCCAGTTAAAGTAAGGTCATTAAATGGCAAAGAATGGGATCCTGTAACTTGGAAAGGGGATGCGTGGGAGGACCCTAGTGAGGCTGGGAACTTTGAACCCTCAGATTTTCTTTTCTTTTCTTTTTTTCTTTTTTTTTTTGGTTTTTTCGAGACAGGGTTTCTCTGTGTAGCTTTGTGCCTTTCCTGGAACTCACTTGGTAGCCCAGGCTGGCTTCGAACTCACAGAGATCCGCCTGTCTCTGCCTCCCAAGTGCTGGGATTAAAGGCGTGCGCCACCACCGCCCGGCTGAACCCTCAGATTTTCAAGGGCTTATCTCACCTGAGGAAGCACTCTCTCCACCCTCAGCAGAAGATGTACTCACACCCCAACACCCTGAAATATACCGTCCTTCCCACCTTTGACTGAGGAAATTAATCCTTCATTATCTGCTAAACCAGCAGTGACATTCCCTAAAGGAGATGCCAGGCAAGACAATACTGATGTCCCTCAGAGCCCACCAATTAGACCTATATCCATACTTAAGGCTAAGCAGGTTCCTAGAGAGGAGACAGAAAGTGTAGTTCACAAGAAGGTATGCTATACCACTTAAGAGCTTAATGAGTTTGTTAAGCAGAGTTTCATTCAAGCAGGAGTCTGGGGAGTATGTGTGGGAACGGATTTTAAAGGTGTGGGATAATGGTGAAAAGAACATAAAACTTGATCAGGCTGAGTTTATTGAAATGGGTCCACTGAAGGAAGATTCTAGGTTTAATATCTATTTAAATTTATTAGGGTGCACAATATTTTGGGGAACACAATAACACCACATTTCCCCTTTTTTGTCTAAAATTTAAAAAAGCTTATAACTAATACAAGAAAAATTATATCCAATAAGTCAAGATTACTTTAACGATGTCTAATCCATTAACATTTGACAGATTCAGGCAAAAAATTTTCATTACTTAGCTTATTTAAAACAAGTAGTTCCTTTTTAAAAGTATTTTTTCTTTTCATAATAGATTCAGTAATCTACCGTTTGTCATTTTTATATCTTCCACCTTTTCTTTAGTGTAGACTGAGTGATCTACCCATTTATCCTATTTCTTTATCTTTTTTCTCAGAATAGATTCGATGATCTACCTCATATCTATACTCTTTTCTTATTTTTCTTTCTTTTTTAAACCTAGAATATTATTAATATCATATTATTAATATCTCACAATAAAAGCGGGAGGGCACAAGTTTGTTTGAATGGTTGGCTGAAACATTTGTCAAAAGATGGCCTACTGAAAATGAGTTGGAATTGTCTGACATCCCTAGCTTCGTGTTGACAAAAGGATTTTTAGGCTCAGGGAAATTGCAATACTCGAGTGGGTACAATGTATAAACCTAATCCTCCACCATGTGAAGGGCCAGAAGACAAGCCCTTCACTAATCCTGTAAGATGCAAGGTGAGAGGGCACCAGCACATTTGAAGAGCTTCGTTGTCACCTTTTTCCTGTGCCAGACACCTAAGAGTTGGAGATGCTCCTGCTCAGTTGGATGAATTAAATGCAATGGGTTTAATTGGGCCACAAGGTAGCATGGGCCACGTAGTAGCACTCAATTGCCAAAGGCAAGGTGATTGTAGTTATAATGGGCAGCATAGACAAAGCCTGACTCCTAATGGTCAGCACAGGCAAAGGGACTGTTATGGACCTTTGGTACTGGCTACTCAGTTATGATGTTTCCAGGCATGAAGTAGTTAAAAAGCCTACTGTATTTTTGTTTGATTTGCATAAGCAGAAAAATTATCAAACAAATGATTTGAAAGAAAGGCTACATTGGATTGTGGCAAAAAGAGAATCTTGGCCCATGAACCAATATCCAGACTTGAGCCAGTTTGTAGACCCAGAACCCCTTAAATGAAGGAACTTGCTGGGTCCCCCTGGGGAAGGACCTTGATAAAATACCTAAGAGTTTTACTGTTAGTCTGTCTCCAGCCCTTCTCCAGAGGATCTATGTAACTATACAATGGAAGAAAGGAAACAATCCGTTCTGAATTGACGCTGACTCCTAGGAGATCCCAAGACACACTGTGGCCCTCCAGGTAAAGTAGGAGCTTAGGGAGGACAGGCGGAGTTTTGGATGAAGTCCAACTCACAGTAGGTCCAGTAGGTCCCCAAACTCATCCTGTAGTTATTTCCCCAGTTCTAGAAAGTATAACTGGGATACTCAGAAGTTACTTACAAGTTGGCGGAATCCTCACACTGGGTCCCTGACCTGTGAAGCGAGGGCTATGATGGTTAGAAAAGCTAAATGGAAACCTTTTAGAGTTGCCTTTGCAGGGAACATAGTGAATCGAAACAGGGGGCGGGGGTGTGTGTGTGTGTGTGTGCGGTGTTTCCCACCCTATCTCCCTTTAACTCTGTCTGGCCAGACAGAAGACAGATGGATCATGGAGAATGAAAGCTGACTATGAAAAACTCAATCAGGTAGTGACTCCAATTGCAATGTGGTGTCCTCACTCAAGCAGATTAACACATCTCCTGGGGTACATGGTATGCAGCTCCTGATGGACCAAATGGCTTCTCTGTACCTGTCCATAAGGACTGCCAATTTGCTTTCAGTTGGCAAGGCCAGCAGTATACCTTTACAGTTTTACCTCAACGATGTATTAACTCCCCAGGCCCGTGTCATAACTCAAAAGGGATCTTGATCATCTGTCTCTTCCATAAAAATATCACAGGTGCACTATAATGATGACGTGATGTTGATTGGACCAAGTGAGCAGGAGGTAGCAACCACTTTGGACTTGGTAACACATACACACATCAAATGGAAAATAAATCCAACCAAAATTCAAGAGCCTTCTAACTCAGTGAAATTCTTAGAAATCTAGTAGTGTGGGGCATGCAGAAATCAGAACCACCTTTTGAAGAATAAGTTATTGCACCTGGCCCCTCCCACCACCAAAGAAACAAGCTTAGTGGGGCCTATTTGGAGTCTAGGAACAGCACACTCCCCATTTGGGTGTATTACTCTGAAAGCTGCTAGCTTTGACTGGGGCCTGGAACAGAAGGCTCTTCAACAGGTCCAGGCTGCTGTGCAGGCTGCTCTACCACTTGGACCACATGATCCAGCAGACCCGGTGGTACTTGAGGTGTCAGTGGCAGACAAGGATGCTGTTTGCAAGCCCCTCTAGGTGAATCACAGAAAAGGCCTTTGGGATTTGAGAGCAAGGCTCCACCATCTGCAGACAATTAGAGCTCTTGGCCTGCTATTGGGCGTTGGTGGAAACTGAACATTTAACAATGGGCCACCAAGTTACCATGTGACCTGTGCTGCTCATCACAAGCTGGGTGTTATCTGACTCACCACGCCATAAAGTAGGAGGCTCACAGCAGCAATTTATTGTCAAATCAAAGTTCATATATACTTGGGCCCAAGCAGGTCCTGAAGGTACAAGCAAGTTTACATGCAGATTGCCCAAATGCCTATGGTTTCTACTCCCATTACAACACTGTTTACTGCTAAGCATGAACCTGTAGCCTCATGGGGCTCTATGATTGGCTGACTGATAAAGAGAAAACTAGAGTCTGGTTTACTGATGGGTCTGCACATTATGCAGGCACCACCCAGAAGTAGACAGCTGCAGCATTACAAGCCCTTTCTGGAATAATCCTGAAGACACTGGTGAAGGGAATTCTTCACAGAACTTCAGGCAGTACACATGGCCATACATTTTGTTTGGAAGGAGAAATGACAAGATGTGCAACTTAATTGATTCATCCATGCAATGGATTGGCTGGATGGTTAGAGACTTGGAAAGAGTTGATTGGGGCCGGGCGGTGGTGGCGCACACCTTTAATCCCAGCACTCGGGAGGCAGAGCCAGGCGGATCTCTGTGAGTTCGAGGCCAGCCTGGGCTACCAAGTGAGTCCCAGGAAAGGCACAAAGTTACACAGAGAAACCCTGTCTCGAAAAACCAAAAAAAAAAAAAAAAAAAGAGTTGATTGGAAAACTGGTAAGAAAGACATCTGGGGAAGAAGTATGTGGTATCTCCAAATGGGTGAAGTGTGAAGATATGTGTGTCTCATGTAAATGCTCATCAAAAGGTGACTTCAGCAGAGGAAGAGAACAATAATCAAGAAAAGAAAGAAAGAGAGAAAGAAAATGAAAAAGACACCATGAATAAGTTGTCCTCTGATCTCCACATGGGCTCTAGGACATGGACACGGACACACACACACACACACACAGACACACATACACACACACACACACACACACACACACACGGAAAAAAAGGTCTATAAAAATGGTTTGGTTTGGTGGGGGGGGGGGGGGCGCAGGGTTTCTCTGTGTAGCCCAGGCTGGCCTTGAACTCAGATCCGCCTGCCTCTGCCTCCTGAGTGCTGGGATTAAAGACGTGCGCCACCACCACATAGCAAGCACACTTTCAGTTTGTAGACTGGAAAGACCTTTAATAGGAAAGTTGCTGAAAGGGCTAGGAGACTGAGAACTCCTCCCCAACCCACTTCTCAAAATGTTATCTGACCGCTTTCCTGTCCTGCAGGCCAACTAGGGCTAGCTTGTCACAAGGAAAGCCCTAGAAACATGACGGTCACACTTGGACCCCAGGGCAGAAATGAGTGAGTGGCTCTGGGGAAGGTACTGAGGAGAGAGTCAGATAACCAGGGAAAACAGCAAACCAACCACCCTGGAATGGAACCCAGAGACGGAGCCGCAGGTGACCACTCACCTGGCCTTCCACAGGCTGGGCACTCTGGTGGCGGTCCTTGTCCTCAAGCTCCAAAAGCAGGTAGACAGGCTTGCAGTCTCTGGACTCGTTTGGGAAGCCTCCTGTGTCTACCTTCCTCTTGATGGTAGAGTTCCAGTGATTCTTCACAGCATTGTCCGTCCTGCGGGGAAACCCAGGGGCCTCTGACACACAGCAGCTTGAAGGCTTCTCCCGCCCTGCTGCCGCTTATCCCCACCCACATCTGTAAGTGAAGGTTCGGCAGAACGCGCGGTGAACACCGTTCAGCTCTACAATGAAGCCTCACTGTTTGTAGCCCTCGATGGCTTAGCAAATCTCCATATATCTCCATGGAATACGCAGTGCAAGCTGGACTGACCCAGAAAGCTTCTCTGAAGAAAGAGCAGTGAAGCTGACAGCAAGCCGGTGGGCCTCACAACAGGGCAAGGCGGCAATGCACGCCAGGCTGTCAGAGCAGTGTGTGTGTGGGGGGGGGGGGGCGGAGGGGGCGTTGTCAGAGCCCAGCAGCTGTGGGAAAGGAAAAGAGCGACTCAGGACCAAGCAACCAAGGTGACTGCAGATGGAGGCTGAGGCGAACGGCATGTGCAAGGCCAACCATGCCATACAGGGAAGGGGCTCTAAGTCCCCAACCAAGAAACAAGGCAGGCCCCCAAAGAAAACACACGGGGACTAAAGTTATGAAACTAGGCGGTTCAGACTCCAGAGACACTTTATCAACTGGCCTCTTCTCTTTGTTCTTCCTCCCACTGCCATGACAAAGGATGGACTCAAAACAAAACACAAGAAAACAAAAGCGAAGTAAGGACAGGAAAACAAGGGGCAGCAAATCAGATTTAGGAGTTCTCAGAAATGGAAAGCGGTCAGGGGAGCAACAGCTAGAGACTGGAGTCCTGACGGAAGATTCTAGCTAGAATCAGTTCACCCCAAGGCTCCTCCCACGGCTCCTACCAGAACTCCAGGAGCCCCAGGATTGGAGCAACCAGACTGAATGAGCTCAGACAAGCCCAGGTTAAGCAGAGTGGTTGTCTGACCTCCAGCTCCTGACCCTGACCTCCAGGCAGGAAGAAAGATGTTTCCTCTTTAAAAATAACCCGACTTGTGTGCTGGGGGTATAGCTCAGCGCTACAGCATCTGACTGCAGACCTAACCAGGCAACAGTGGCCACAATGGACACAGTACACAGGGCAGACACTGGGGCTCCACGGAAATCTGCACCCTGGAGGTGAGATTCCCAATGCCCTTCTACCTGGCACGGCACCCCAGGCAACAGCTCCTTACAGGAATCATCTACCCCTGGGGAAGTAAGTAACTCCAGAGAAAAGCATCAGTTCTTAGAGCGTCCTCTCAGAGGGCCAGCGGACAACAAAACTGGGCAGTAAAGGTCATCAGCAGATAAGCACCAGCAGTGTGCAGTGCGTTTCCTAACTATGTTCACTGACTGCTTCCTAACTGTGAAGGGCCAACCACAGATCGGCAATCCTCCAAAGCAAACCTCCTGTATTAAATCAATATGGTTGGGCAAAACAAAGAGCAAGAAATACTAGGCCAGTGGTTCTCAGCCTCCCTAGCACTGCGACCCTTTAGTACAGTTCATGTTGTGGTGAACTCCAACCATGAAATTATTTTCGTTGCTACTTCATAACTGTGGTTTAGCTACTGCTATGAATTATAAAGTATCTGTGTGTTTTCCAATGGTCTCAGGTGATCCCTGTGAAAGTGCTGTTTGACCATAAAAGGGGGTCTCAACCCAGAGGTTGAGAACCACTGCATCAGGCAAACACACAAAGCAGAAGACTATTTCTGTCTTTTGATCTTTTTTTTTTTTTTTTTTTTTTTTTTTTTGGTTTTTCGAGACAGGGTTTCTCTGTGTAGCTTTGCGCCTCAGGCTGGCCTCGAACTCACAGAGATCCTCCTGCCTCTGCCTCTGCCTCCCGAGTGCTGGGATTAAAGGCGTGCCCCACCACCGCCCGGCTGTCTTTTGATCTTTTAAACACAGTATCAATAGTGAAATCAATGGCTGCAAACATGTATTAAGGTTCTGGTCCAGAAAAGGAGTAAGAATTTAGAAAACAAAACTTCTTAAAATAATTTCCAAAGGATTGAAGGTTAAAAACCAAGAAACTTCGCCGGGCGGTGGTGGCGCACGCCTTTAATCCCAGCACTCGGGAGGCAGAGCCAGGCGGATCTCTGTGAGTTCGAGGCCAGCCTGGGCTACCAAGTGAGTTCCAGGAAAGGCGCAAAGCTACACAGAGAAACCCTGTCTCGAAAAACCAAAAAAAAAAAAAAACCAAGAAACTTCTCAGGAAGTGAAATCAAAGAGAAAACAGGAGAAAGATGAAGAAATCACGGGATGCTCTCAATATTCTGAGCAAAAATTATTTTCAAACTCTATATCTACTTAAATCATCTATTACATGTGAGACAAAATCAAGGACAGAGCTCAGGATGTTAATGAAGGATGTGTTCCACTAAAACAAGAAAGTAAACAACACAGGAGAAATCTAACAGGATGAGGGATAAAAGACATCCAATCTAACAACAGGGTAGCAGTCATGAACACAAAGGAATGAGTGTACCTGTCTGCAGTCTGTGGACTATACACATGCAGAGGCCAGAGAGGGCGTTATATCCTCTGGAAATGAGTTCCAGAGGGTGGTTAGCCACCAAGTGAATGCTGGGAACTGAAATCAGGTCCTCCACGAGGGCAGCAAGTACTCCATCTCCCCAGCCCTGCTTCAACCTTTCTTTTGTTTTTTTTCTTTTTTCTTTTTTTTTGGTTTTGAGACAGGGTTTCTCTGTGTAGCTTTGCGCCTTTTCCTGGAACTCACTTGGTGGCCCAGGCTGGCCTCGAACTCACAGAGATCCGCCTGGCTCTGCCTCCCAAGTGCTGTTTTTTTTCTATTTGTTTACATTTGTTTGTTTGGTTGGTTTTGTTTTGTTTTTCTTTTTGTTTTTCCAGACAAAGTTTTTCTGTGTACCCCTGGCTGTACTGGAACTCACTCTGTAGACCATGCTGGCCTAGAACACAGAGATCTGCCTGCTTCTGCCTCCCAGAGTGCTAGGATTAAAGGCATCATCATCGTCCGGCTGTTTTTACCTTTCTTAATAAGGCATGACTTACGGCGGGCAGTGGTGACACACACCTTTAGTCCCAGCACTCACGAGACAGAGGCAGACAGATCTCTGAGTTCGAGGTCAGCCTGGTCTACAAAATGAGTTCCAAGACAGCCAGAGCCATTACACAGAGAAACCCTGTCTCAAAAACAAACAAACAAACAAACAAAACAAAGGCATGACTTTCTCTCCATCTCCTGGTGGCTGATGGGACTTCCACCTACCTGTACCACGTTTCTCCTAAATGCTAACAAAATTGTCTTTGAGATTAAAAGTACAGACAAACAAAAAACACCTGTGAAGGGGGACCACTTAGGAAAAACGGTAGCCAGATAAGGAGATACACTCATGGATAGTACTAGTACTTGAGCACTATGTTCCAGGTAGTAACATTAGCTCTGCTACCCTAACTAAACATTGGGGTCCCGGGATATAATAAGTATACTAGTTAGCTTTTTTTTTTTTTTTCCTGCCTGAGACAGGGTCTCTCTTTATAGCCCTGGCTGTCCTGGAACTCACTTTTTAGACTAGGCTGGCCTTGGACTAAGAGATCCACCTGCCTCTGTCTCCAAACTGCTGGTATTAAAGGCGCACACCACCACATCAAGTTGTCTGCACCTCGTTTTTTTAAATTAACTACTTAGCAGTCTGCAGGGCAGTGGTGGCACAGGCCTTTAATCCCAGCATCTGGGAGGCAGAGGCAGGGGTATCTCTGTGAGATTAAGGCCAGCCTGGTCTACAGAGAGTTCTGGGATAGCTATGTCAGGACCCTGTCTCAGGAAGAGGGGTAGGGGCAAGTGCCTGCAAGTGAGCTAAAACAAGCCAGCAGTCAACGTTCCTCCCTGGTCTGGGCTTCAAGTTCTTGCTTTACTTCCCTCAACTGTGACCTGGAAGTGGAAGACAAATAAATGAAGGCCGCCACCAGGGCCCCCCCCTCCCCCACACCTTGCTTTAGGTCAGTGTTTTATCACAGCAACAGAAAGGAAAACAGAGCAATAGGATATAATGAATGGGGCATCGGGAGGGAAAGAGGGTCAGAGTCCCAGCAGCTCACAGCACCAACTACTCTTCCAGAGGACCTTGATTTGATTCCCAACATACACAGGATAGATAGCTCACAACTCTAACTCTAGTCCTAGGGCAACCAATGCCTCTGGCCTCCTCAGGCACCAGGCATGCACATGGTATAAACAAGCAGGCAAAACACTCATACACAAAAAACAAAAATAAAAAAGAACCCACAAGTATAATATCCTTAAAAACAACAACGTATCATTCATAAATATGGATGTGGTGATATATTGTGTACCCTAATAAATTTGCCTGAAGATTACAGAACAGAACAAGCCACTAGATTAAACATAGAACCAGGCAGTGGTGGCACACGCCTTTAATCCAAGCACTCGGGAATCACACGCCTTTAATCCCAGCACTAAGAAGGAAGTGATATGGTGGGTGGAGAAAGGTATACAAGGCATGTGGAGACAGGAACTAAGGCTTTTCGGCAGAAGCATCCCTTTCAGCTAGAAGCCCTTCTGGCTGGAGTTTTTTCAGGCTGCGGAGTTGGTGAGGTAAGAGGTGGTGGCTATGGCTTGCTCTGCTTCTCTGATCTTTCAGCTTTCACCCTAATATCTGGTTCTGGGTTTTTTATTGTTAACTCGAACAACATACGGATACTAGCTAGGCATTGTGGTGCACACCCACATCCTCAGCAGTCATGAGGCTAAGGTCACAAGTTCCAAGTCAGCCTGGGTTCAACACCAGTGTGGGAAAAAAAGCAAGTCCCTGTCTCTAAACAAAAACAAAGCCGGGCGGTGGTGGCGCACGCCTTTAATCCCAGCACTCGGGAGGCAGAGCCAGGCGGATCTCTGTGAGTTCGAGGCCAGCCTGGGCTACCAAGTGAGTTCCAGGAAAGGCGCAAAGCTACACAGAGAAACCCTGTCTCGAAAAAACAAAACAAAACAAAAAAAAAAAAAAAAAAACAAAAACAAAAGATGAGTCTGATTTAGTAGAAAGTGGGAAATGGGGACAGAAACTGGTGTTTCCATCATATTCCCTCTAACAGGACACAACCTGACTTTCCAGTCCAGTCTTTTTAGATCTACTTTTCTCCCTTCTGATGCATGTCTCTGGGCGACCTGGAGACTGAAGACAAGGCTATTTGAATGTTAAAAAACATGGGACTGCTCATGGCACTCTGGGACACTCCATCCCAAGCACGGGCCTCACTCACTGGGCATAGCACCCTGCCTGCACCCTACCTACCTCCCGGGCAGCATCTTGGCGATCTCAGCCCAGCGGTTGCCCAGCACTTTATGGGCCTCACAGATGATGCGATCTTCCTCTTCGGTCCAGCAGGACTTCTTCACCTCAGGGTTGAGGTGATTGTGCCAGCGTTCACGGCACTGCTTCCCTAGCCGGCCCTTCAGGTGCTTGGCAATCAGAGTCCACTGTTTTGTGCCATACTTCTTGACCAGCTCAATGACCTTGAAGAAAACATCAGTGAAGAACCAGCCCCTCAATCACCTCCACTTAAGCATCGCCATATCCAGATGGGCCTCACTTTGCAGGACTTTAGAGAGGTACAAGCCTATGAGGTCAGCCCCATTCACACTAGAGAGTTAGATCAAGTCTTCTTGATACTTCTGTGGAAATCACAAGGGTAGAGCCCAAGTCATGGCACCAAGAACTAGACTCCAGTCTTCAACCCCGCTGAGAAAGGCTCTTTTGTTCAGGACACAAACCCTAACAGTAACAGCAACTCAAGCTAGGCCCTCCTCAGTTCTTTGTTTTTTTCTGAGACAGGGTTCCTCTGTGTAGCTCTGGCTGTCCTGGAAATTGATCTATGTATCAGACTGGCCTCGAACTCAAGAGATTCACATGCCTCTGCCTCCTGAGTGCTGGGATTAAAGGTGTGCACCACTACCTGCCCAGCTCCCTCCTCAATTCTTGATACACACATATTCTCCTGTGCACATAGCCACAACCAGGGAAGAGTAGATACTCACAGAAAAAGGGACTTTTGTGTGGAAATATTCTACTTCATTTCTGTGTAGTTAAAAAAAATTTGAGACAGGATCTCACTATGTAGACCAAGTTGGCTTAGAACATCTGATCCTTCAGCTCCCACTTTCCCAGGGCTGGGATTAGAGACGTGTGCCACCATGCCCAGTTTGCTGTGATTTAAATGTTTTAGTAATCACATCCCATTTGGATGGGTGTATGCATCTACTAGGACAGTGCTTTTTTTTATCCCCCGCTTTTCCTGGGTGCTGTGTTTACCAAGGTGGAATGGTATCTTATGGGCTAACACCAGCGAGATGAACCAGAGCTCTATAAAGGAGCTCCAGAAAAGCAGCCCAGGGTGATCATAGTTTGGAGAATGTCAAATCCTTTTTGTGCCTTGATTTTACTCAGCTTTAACATGGACATAACCCACCTCACAGGACTACAGATGCTACAGAAATAAAGCATTAAAATGCCAAATGTGGCAAACACCTGTAATCCTAACACACGGGAGATAGAGACAGGAGTTCAAGGCCAGCCTTGGCTACTTAGCAAGTTTGAGGTCATCCCAGGCTACCCGAGATCCTGTCTCAAAAACAAGAAAGAAAAAAAAATCCTAGAGAAGGGGTTAGAGGGGAAGTAAGTTCAGCGGTGGAGAGCTTGCCCAGCATTGCAATAGGTTTCATCTGAAGCACCAAAAAAGCAAAGCCTCTGAGTTTTGTGGTATAACCATTATCACAGCATCTACCAAATTATCATAGCATCAGTGGCAGCTGCCACTGGCTGAGCAAGCCCCTTATGTGCACCAGACATTTCATTACCTTTCCATGTTCTATGTGACAGGTAAGGTTACCAGTTAAAAGCTGGGTAACTCGTGGGGTGACGTGGCCACTACAAGCCCCAGCACTCAGGATGGCTGAGGTCTGAATCAAGGCCAGCTTCGGCTACACAACCAATACGAGACTAACCAGGGCTATAAAGCTGGTCTTTCTCAGAACACACACACACACACACCCCGAAGATACTCAGGACTAAAGCAGAGTGCTACAGGAGTGTTCCGACACCTCCCAGTGCCTGGCGGTGGTGGAAGCTCACAGTGTATGCCGGCCCTTTAGCCAGCACTTACCTTCTGGTCTTCCTCTTTGGTCCATGGTCCCTTAACGAGGTCTGGATTCAAAACCCTCAGCCACCGGTACTGGCATTGCTGGTCTGTGCGGTTCTGGGACAGGAACAGAAATAACTCTGGGACCATAAAATTGAACTCTGGTGGAGCCCTGAGCTCAGGGACCAATGTACAAGCCTATGTCAGGTAGCTGCGTCCTGTGCCATTCACCCACCACACGCCAGAGGCTGACCTACCAGAACAAGGGTGCATTATTTTTGCTTCAAAGGATAAACCCAGGCCCTGTAGAAAGGAACCTCCCACCCTCTGTACCTAGAACGTGTGTGGGGTGTACTATCTCAAAGTCTATAAAAGCTTCGTGGGACTTATTAGTGATTCCTGTTTTCTTCTTGGATACCATTTTTATTCTTTAAAGGTTACAAGGAAGAAACGGGGGAGGCAGAGAGAAGTATGATGATATAGCCTGAGATGCCTATGGAACCCCATCAGTTAAGTGGCAGCCTTGTGCACTGTCCTGTCTAGATTCCTGCAGTCCTGGGAGGGTGTGTAAAAGCAAGCTCTCTCCCCAGAGGGCTTGGAATGTTGGTGTAGTGGCACAGCCACCTGGGCAGGAGCCTCAGCTTGAATTCTCCTCAAAGTATGCCGCCCTCAGTTTCAATTCATGGCCCAGAGCTAAGTATCCAGCTGTTCCTGACTTGCTGGAAGAAATACAAACAGCCTTTGGGCCTAGGATAGAGGACACACTAAAGCAGCTGTGTGGAATCTTCTCACTGGGTGCCTTCTGGTTTGTGGTTTTCTGGTTTGTTTTTTTTTGGGGGGGGAGGGGGGTTTGAGACAGGGTTTCTCTGTGTAGCCCTGGCTGTCCTGGAACTCGCTCTGTAGACCAGGCTGGCCTCTTGAACTCAGAGATCTGCCTGCCTCTGCCCTTTGCCCCTCGCCCACCACATGTGCATGCCGGGATTAAAGGTGTATGCACCACCACTGGCACCCAGCCTCCCAGGCTTCACTTCACTTCTGCTTTCTAAACAACTCACAGCAGGCCACCGGAGCCCTTGCCCTGGGGGAGGGCCGGTACTCACAGGAAAGTGGCTGGCCAGGAACTTCCAGTCCTGCTGTCCGAACTGCCTCACCAGGGCCCTCAGCTGCTCATCCTGCCAACCGAAGAAAGACACAGGATTTAGCTCACGTGTGTGTGGAAAGTTTTATAGATGCCACGATACAGCCATATTCATACATTCACTCAGGAACTCAGTGCCTACTAAGTGTCAAGTATCAGTCACAGTGGCAGGCAGCAGCAGATGTGCCTGACAGGGAGGAGAGGGTAATCAATGCCTCAGGCAAGCGCGCTTATCGCCACTCTGTAGTGGAGGAGATGCTGGGAGCTGTGGTGACTGACTCTTCAGGTAGGTAGGCAGACAGGTTTTAAAAAAAATGAGAGAGCTAGACTGAGGAAGGGGGAGGGAAGAGGGATCCTGCTGGAGAGGCTGACAGTGAGGGCCCCTAGGATTGATTCAGTGATTCAGGGGTTCCATCACCAAGAGGCACTTATGCACTTGGGCAGTGGATGATCAAGGTCCAGTGTGCTTGTTACAAAGTATTGGTGGGCTGACTCACAATGGGAAATTTTCAGAAAACAGAAGCCAGGTGGGGGTGGGGGGTGGGGGGCGTCTAGTTTAACCTCTGTACTTGGGACAAAAGCAAAGAATATCGGGAGGAGTTCAAGGCCATCATAAAGTATACAGGTAGCTGGTATTCCAGAGCAGCCTGGGATACAAGAGACCCACCTCAAATCAAATCAAAACAACAAAATCCCACAAACAAAAAACAATTCACTCTCCCACTCAGGGCTGGGAAGGCAGCCGAGCTGCTACCGAGCTTGCCAGTGTGCACTGCGCTCTATCTCCGGCACCTACATCAGGAAAAGTAAGAAATTCAAGATCATCCTCAGCTGTATAACAAACTGGGAGGCCTGCCCAGCATTTGTGGAAAAACCCGATCTCAAAACAAAACGAAAAAGCGCCAGAGAAACTGCTCAGTGGGGAAAGGCACTTACTAAGTCTGACGATCTGACTTCGTTCCCTAGGACGCAGATGGGAGAGAACCGACCTCCAAATGTTGTACACACACACACACACACACACACACACACACACACAATAGAACAAAGGAAAAGAAAATGTGTAGTACACATCAGCCCTCTCTCACACAAGAACAACAATACATAAGATTAATTAAAAGGGGCTAGAGAGATGGCTCAGCGGTTAAGAGTACTGGCTACTCTTTCATGGACTTGGGTTCAATTCTTAGCACCCACATGGCTGCTCACAACTGTCTGTCACTCTGGTTCCAGTGGACCTGGCACCCTCTTCTGGCCTCTGCACCTACACACAGGCAGGCAAAATGCCCACACATACAAAATAATAAAATTACTTTGTTTTAAATTTTTAAAGTAATGACAAACATTTTTTACAAGACTATAGATTTAGCTTCCTAGCAGCCAAGGGTTCTCAGGGTCAAATGTCCCCACCATGCAGTATGAAGAGGCAGTCTTGGGAGGATTGGAGGTGATGAAGTCATCTAATCTCTGCTGTCAGAACGGATTATCAATGCATGGATCACTCAGTTGGTATCTTAAGTCTGTCATAAAAGCCAGTATGGCACTGCCTCTTACATAACCCTACCCTGTCTGGAAACAGAGTCCCCACGAGGAAAAAGGACTTCCTTAGCTGCACAGCAGAATGGAAAGGTGATTAAACCTGTCTTTATAAACTACCTACTCTCTGGAATGAGGACGCAACCGCAGATTTATCAGACCAAGATAAAGGGCAAGAAGCACTTAAGAGAGATGGAGGTCCTGAGGCCTGAGGACCATGCCATAAACCACAGATTTTGGAGTCTGAGGAGGCAAAGGGGAGAAGCAGAAGGCCCATCAACTTCCTCACTGTCCACAGATGGGGACATTAGACGCCACCAGCCGCCATTAACCCTCTCCCCAGCTCCATGGAGTAGCTGTGGCTCACCTCCTCATGGGTCCATTTGACCTTGCATTTGTTGTCTCTCGGCTCCAGGAGGTCTGAGTCTGTGTCCTGGTAGTGTAACTCATCCAGCTCCTCACTGTGGAAGCAAGCTAAAGGTCATGGACAGCATGTTTACATACCTTTACCTGGGGGTGGTAGTGTATGGTCAGGGTCAGGTCAACTATAGGGAGGTTTGGGGAGGCAGGCCTTTCTCTTCTACTTTCCAAAAGTAGGTACAGGCTAGGTGTGGTGGCCCATACTGGTAATCCCAGCACTCGGGAGGCAGAGCCAGGTGGATCTCTGTGAGCTCAAGGCTAGCCTGGTCTACAGAGTGAGATCCAGGACAGGTACTAAAACTACACAGAGAAACCCTGTCTCGGGGAAAAAAAAAATTTATTTTGTTTATGAGTGCTTTGCCTGCATGTATGTCTGTGCACCACATCAATCTATACCCAGTGCATGCAGAGTTAGAAGAGGGTGCCTGATTCCCTAGAACTGGAGGTCCAGATGATTGTGAGCTACCAGGTGGGTGCTGGGAACTGAACCTGGATCCTCTGCAAGTGCAATAAGTGTTCTTAACCACTGAGGCATCTCTCCAGTCGCTAGCACTGGATATTTTCAAGATCATCAAGCATGCAAGATTTTAAAAGTCCTAATTACTTAGAGGAAACAACTAAAACATGTCATCACTATCTTTTTCCATCCACTTTATCTGGGATTAAAGGCATATTCTGCCGCACCCAGCCTCACTTCATTCATTCTTGCCTGTCCCTTTCCAATTCTCGCCTATATGTGATGGACAGAAAAAATCAGAATATAATCATTTGAAGTCTGAAGGCTTTTAAAGAAACTAACAAAGAAGTTTTTGTTGTTTTGTTTTTCAAGAAGGGGTTTCTCAGTGTAGCTCTGGCTATCCTGGAACTTGACTGGCCTGCCTCTGCTTCCCTGCTGGGATTAAAGGTTTGCTCCACCACGGGCCAGTAACATGGGATTTTTATTTAACTGTTACCAAACTCCTACTATCTAGTTTAATGCTTTGAAAGAGGAGATCACACTATGAACCTCCAAGAATGCTAGTCAGGGACTGCAGAGCTGGCTCATTGGGTTGAAACATACTGCTCCTGGTGAGGACCAAGATCAGTTTCCAGCACCCTTTATCCCCACCTCCCAGCTCTAGGAAGATCCATGGCTCTGGCCTCTGTAGGCACCTACACCCAAGTGCATATATATAACCACACTCGTACTTAATTAAGGAAGGAAGGAAGGAAGGAAGGAAAACAGTTATTCACAGGAGATGTTGATCCTTCCCCAATTCCCCAGGACCTGCATCGCGTTGCTTTCTAACAAACATACTCCTATGCCTGTCATCTGTTGCTGGGAAAAGCAGAGAAATTTGCAAACAAAACAAGCCATGCTCTGTACCCAAATGGGTTCTGATGGTGTCTACACACCTTCCCTTTCTTCCCCCAAAGGCAGCAGAGCTTCCCAGTCACTCCTACACCCCCAAAGCACTTTGGAAAACCAGGCCCTGACCTCAGCTCCAACCTCTGGTCTTGACATCACCCACAAAGGTCAGCTCCACCTTCACAACCTGGAATTTGGCATAGAAAGACCTTAAGAAATATTTGCCCAGGGCACCAGTGGATTTGTGAATGAATGAATACTGCAAAGAGAAGCTACCTACTAACCCATTTTAAAATTCAATTACAATGAAAAGAAGTTTCCAAACCTAACAATACATGTCACTGGATCTGGAACGCAGATTTGTTCTGTCACTTCTGACCCAATGCACGCACCACTTACCCACTGTAAAGCAGGAGACAAAATCTACTAAGTATTAACAACTGAGTTTGCTTCTCCAGTACCCAGCACGAGGCCCAGATTCTCTCTTTTTTTTTTTTTTTTGGTTTTTCGAGACAGGGTTTCTCTGTGTAGCTTTGCGCCTGTCCTGGAACTCACTTGGTCACTTGGTAGCCCAGGCTGGCCTCGAACTCACAGAGATCCGCCTGGCTCTGCCTCCCGAGTGCTGGGATTAAAGGCGTGCGCCACCACCGCCCGGCGAGGCCCAGATTCTATTAGAAGCTCACCCAATGTCCCGGAACAAAGGCATCTGTGTAGAGAAGTTCTGATGCTGTGTAATGCGATACTATTAAAAAGATGGCAGATGATGGCATTCACACGATGCCCCCTCTCACATTCTCAAGGTCTCCATTTAACAGATGTGAACATTGAGGCCAACCAGGGTTATGCTGCGTCAGGCTCCACACCTTTACACCCTCACCTCCCTAGTAATCACAGCTTGTAGAGACCAGTGAGTGGTTTTTAAAAAAAAAAAAAAAAAAAAAAAAAAAAATCACATTTTTGTACACATACCCTTTCTCTTGCCCATGTACATTCTGGGCTGTGCGCCAGGGAAAGGTGAGTCAGAGGCCAAGAGGAAAGTGGGGCACTGGGGTACAAGAGAGTTATAACGTGGCAGAAAAAGGACTGAGGCTTGTGAGGATACAGGGGCACTGAGCCCATGCTTCACAAGGGTCCCTCCAAATGAGCCCCGGGACTCCTGGAGTTAATATGTCCAGAGACTCTTCCTGGCCACTGAATTGCCTTAGAAACTGGGGCATGGGAACCCACCCTGACCAGCGCTCATGGACCGAATACTTTCCAAGCAATGAGGAACTCTGTGAAAGTAAGCAAGCTAGGCATCTCTGTTCATATCCTCATCCTAAGCCCAGTTCGGCCATCTGAGGACATGAGTGTTCTGAATTGGAGAGACCCAGAGGGAACACGGCAGGACCCCATTATCGCACTCCTTAGAGGCTGGAAAGCCCCGCAATTAGCCCCCAGATACACAGGTGTACGAAAGGTCCAGGCTTGACCCAGTCACTTACCCTCTGGGGAAATTTAGTAAGAGGGAAACGCGGCTCCTGCCTTTGGCCCAGCGACCGCTGGCAGAGCAGTCTCGTTACACATCAGCAGTCTCTACTGAGCCCCAAAACTAGCGTGGGACAGGAAGAGGGTTTCTGAAACCAAACCGAACCGGCCGCCCAATCCCCAAGAGACAATGAATCCCCGGTCTCACACCCGGCAGAGGGCCCAGGGGCTTTGTGCTTCCCAGAATGCAAACAAGAAAGGGATTCCAGCAAATTCGAGCCACTCTTGAACGACAAGTGTCTCGGAGACTTCTGCCTCCCCACTCGTTGCGACTTGGAGAGACATTCTCCCGGCCCAGTAGTGAACCTCCAGCTGACACCGCGCGCACCAGCCTTCCTTCCCCACCCTGCAATTAGGCGGGAGATGATGGACCTCACCCAGGGCCGGGACCGGGTCTCGGGGAGGGAACCCGCGCTTTCGTGCTCCTGGGCCCAGAAGGCCCGGGAAATCCGAGCGAGGGGTCCCTAGGGCCCCTTACCGTGGCACGCTCCCCTGCATCGGGCGGCGCCCTTGCACCGGACGGCCGCGCGGGGTGCATTTCCCGCGGGGACCCCCCACCTCCTGTTTGCAGACCCAAGGAGAGGGGCGAGAACCCCAGAACTCACCAGCGCGTCCGCCGAGACATCCCCCCGGCCCGGGCCGCGCCGCGCCCTCACGCCCACCGGCCGAGCCTGGAGCGGGAGCCGGGCCGGGGTCAGGACTCGGGCTGCTCCGGCCGCTCCCGGCCCCAGGCGGCGCTCTGAGGCGTCTGTGTGTTTGCAGGTCTCGTCGCGCGCTCTCAGGAACTGCAGCTGCCTCGGGAGCGCACAGAACCACTTTCCTATCTCCCGCCAAGTGCGTCGGCGCCGCCCGGACCTGGCGCGCGAGCGCGGGGGCGGGGCGTACGGAAGGGGCGGGGTGGACGAGACGAGGGGCGGAGCCCGGGCGCCAGAGCCCAAGGAGGAGCCTACAGGAGGGGCGGAGACTAAGGAGGGGAAGGGAGTAGTCAGCAGGAGCAGGGACAGAGCCTGCGGGCCTGGCTGGGCAGATGCGAGGACTTCCAGATAGACACACCTTGCGACTCAATGAGGCGAGGGTTCCAACCTTGTGCGGATATTAGCTAGACCCCCGAGCAACATACACAACAAAGAACCAAATGAGGAGAGTCAGATGGGAGAAACTTCCCGCCCAAATTGTCACTGCTCCAGTCCAGGCAACTGTCCCTCTAGCCCCCACGCTTTTTTTTTCTGGGTTTGCCCCTTTTCCCTTGCAGTCTTCTTGCTTCTTCAGCTGCCTCTGAGAGAACCAGCTAAAAATGCTAACATTTCTCTCACCAAACTTAAACTCTCTTCTCTCGGGGGTTAATTCTTCTACTCCATATTCAAGTGTGTAAAGGTCTTCCAGATCACCACACCAGTCCCAGAGAGGGATATTTAGTCTCCCAGGTTTTGCTTGGGCCATTATCTGGACTAGTAATTTCCCGCACCTCCCACCTCTGGGGTCTCTTGCCCATGTACTTGCTGACGTTGCATTTCCCCAACTGAACTGTGAGCATCCTGGAATTCCAGCAGCCTTTCCTACGAGGTGTAGGAACCCCCAGGTCAGTGTTTGTTGACTTAAGTTCAATTTTTGTTGACTTAAACTCTGTTGTCAAGGATTTTCCATTTTAGGTTGTCATTTATTACCAACTACTGAGTGTCACTTTACTGGGACTTCCTGGAAGGACGGGAGCCTGGGAGAGCCCCAGCCAAACACCTTTTATTTAGGCCCACCTCAGGCCTCAGATCCTTCCTCTAAAATCTACTGGCCACCTGGACACAGTCCAATTCTGCAAACTTCCTTTACAAGGGCTGAATGAAGACTTAAGAGCTGCAAGTTTCCTTCCACCTGGCCTAATTCCAGGATTTCCCCACCAATCACGTCACAAAGGAAATCACGTCACAAAAGAAATCACGTGCACATTTGTTCTTTCTTGCTAGTGTGTTCAAAGCCAGATTTCCAGGGGTTGATTCCCAGCCTTCCTCTCCCTCGGTGCATCATCTCAGACAAATTATCAAACTCCTCTTGTGCCTCAGTTTCCTCATCTACAAAAAGTTTATCAAAATCTTAGATTTTTTTAACTAGGTATTAGTCACCATTCCACACACAAATTTTAATAAATTTCATCTTCCTAGCAATCCAATAAGCTATATACTAGTCTTACCTGTTAGCAGATGGAGAAACTGAGGGAGGCACAGACTTCGCCAAACTCTAATTCTAGAGTTTATAGTAAGGAAAGGGAAAAGTGGCTTCCCCCTAGTGTCTTTGGCTTGTTTACAAATTAAATGGGTAGGAAATAACAAGGAAAAAAACTCCTATTTGATTAGTTACATATCCATGGGAGTCCCAAAAAATAATGTCATATGAAGGCTCAGATGATTGAAGCTTCCTGAACTACAGAAAGGAATGGGGTCCTAGGGCTTCTGTCGGGGTGGTAGTGACACAAGTTATTGGGGCTAAGGAAAGGAACTGTAAGGCAAATAGAGATGTTCTTGTCATGCAGATATAAGTCTCCCAGTTGAAAAAAAGCTATTGGCAGCAGCTGGGGTCCTGGAACGCTGGCTAATGGAGATTTCCCTTACTAATATAAATTTCTTTTACTAAAGGTTTGCCTTGTAAAGTTATTCCCTAGTCCTCAGGCGGTGCAGAACAGCCAGGTCGAAGCAAGCCAAAGGAGTGTGAACTATTTTCTCCTACAGTCTATTTTGGGGTGGTGTATGAGCCTTTAAACCATGCACTACAAAGATACCTACCCTATATGGCAGTTATAGGATCAAATATATGAATATATATGGCACATAATTAGTATTATATTACTGTTAGGTTGGTTTTGTTGCTGAGGTTAGACCCAGGGCTTCCCACATGCCTCTCTCTCAACACCTGGACCCCTTCTGTTAGTACTATGATTATTATTCTGACTCCAGCTGCCATCACACCTGTCTTGTGAGGTCCAAGAAACTCCTGTGCAGGCTGCACACACTCTCATGTAGATTACCAATCTCCTTTTGGGCAAAAACTGGATCCGGAAACTTGCATAAGATATATGCCCAAGGCAAGAGGCAGAGAGCAGATGCAGAGTCCACCTGGGACCTGAAATTGGGGCACCAGTTACAGTTAACCAGTACACCAGAGAGAGCCTGGAGGTCAGGATTGTGAATTTGAGCAGCAAAATCACTCTAGTGTCACAAGGAATCTGGTGAGCTCCACAAGTATGTCCTCTAGTTATCAACACACCAACACAAGCCCCTGGAGAGAGGACTCCCAGCATCCAGGGTGCCATCACACCTGGGAGTGGTCTCTAGACTCAAGGCAGATAACACATATTCTGAACAGTGCTGGGAGGCTTTCTTGGACGGGACCTCCAGGGATGGAAAGGCTCCAGTCATTCAGCCATTCAATTATCTGCCCCACCCTGGGCTCCAAACTCAAAGCTATTCCTGTGTCAGGAAGACAAAGATCAACTCTTCTTGTTAGACATGCTTAGCCAAGCAACTGGTAGGACACAAAACCACTGACTGACGGCAAACAATGTATAGTATCGCCTGCCTTTCTGTCTGGAGTCACGGCTTCCACCTACTGAGCAACATTTGTTTTGCTTTTGCTTTGCTTTGTGCTGGGCTTCAAACTCTGGGTCTTCAGCCTGCCAAGCAACGACTCTACCTATAAACAAGCTACATCCTACATCTGCAACCCACATTTGAAAGATAAGAAAACTGAGACCAAAAGCCATTCGGTAAATTGACTAATCACATAGGTATTGGGCTGGTAGATTGAAGCTGTGTGCACTCACCCAGTTGGTTCATGTTAGGCTCTTCAGAGCTGGGTTATTTAGGGATTTCCAAGAGGGACAATGTAGGTTATGGCAAAGAACACTCAGGGAAGAGAAAGATTAGAAAATCTATGCAAGGCATGTCACAAGTCTATAATCCCTATACTTGGAAGGCCAAGGCAGAAGAATCCCAAGTTCAAGACCAGCCTACACTACACAGGAAGTTCCAGGCCAGACTGAGATCAAGGAGACCCTGTCCCTAAAACCAAAAGAAAAAAGAAAATTCTCCTTGAAGAATACTGGTGCATGTCTGAAATTCCAGCACTCTGGAAGACTAAGGCCAGAGGATGGAGAATTCAAGACTAGCATGGACTAGATAAGGAGAGCCCGTATCAAAAGAAAAAGGAAAGAAGGTGGGAAGGATGAAGGAAAAGACCAAAAGGAGAGGTAGGCAGGGGGATCCATAGAGACTAGCTAGACTTCAAAGCCATTCTTGACTCCTTTCAAGTCACAAATCTTGATCATCTACAAATCCGAATGTATTCAGTTAGCAAAAGCACAAAAGATGCTCAAAAGCTGGACATGACCCAGTTCTTGTAACACAGACCTGTAATCCTAGCTACTTAGGAAGTTGAGGCAGGAGGATAACAAGTTCAAGGCCAGCCTGTACTACACAGGAAGTTAGTGAGAGCTTTCAAAAAGTAAGAGAACTAATGATTAGCTCAGAGGCTCAGCACTTGTGTGGCACGCATGAGCCCCTGGGTACAATCTCTAGCATTACGACCAGCACCACCAACAAAATAAAAACAAAAACAGGAGGAGGAGGAAAGAAAGAACGAACAGACAAAGGCTGGGCACAGTAGCCCACACCTTTAATGAAGCCCTCATAAGGCAGAGGCAAGCATTCCAGGACAGCCTGGTCTACATAGTGAGTTCCAAGCTAGCCAAGGCTACATCATGAGATTCTGAAAAGAGGCATGGTGGTTGTCTTAAAAGACAGATCGCCAAGCCTGACAGCCCTTAATATCTTCATCAGAGCAGCTGTGACTACTTCCAAGTGTCCCTCAATGGCTTGCTGACATTTCTTCATAGCTGGGGGTGGGGGTGGGGTCATTAGAGCCTCCCCTGAGATTTTAGCCCTCCTTCCTGCATCTCCCTCCCACCTATATGTATCTCTGCTCGGGCTTCATGTAGACTGCCAGAGAGGATGTAGTGTGGAAGGTTAACTCTGGGGGAACTCCATCTTCACAGCTATCAGAGGGAGTGGTCTCCACAGTGGGGGGAGACTCAGTGGTACAGTGAGTTCTTCAAGGAAGCCCAGTAAACTCACTGGTTCACCAAAAGAGACTTTGGGCAAATTGTTACTTTGGTCTGTTGTTGGTTATCCTGTCCGGGTTGAGTGGACGTTCTAGTCTCCCCAGGAAAATTTCATGAAATACTGATGCACTGTCCATTGCTGTGAAGAGACACCATGACCAAGGCACTTTTGGTTGTTGTTGTTGTTTGTTTATTTGTTTGTTTGTTTGAGGCAGGGTTTCTCTATCTAACAGCTCTGGGTGTCCTGGAATTTGCTTTGTAGGCCAGGCTGGCCTCAAACTCACCGGAGACCATGGCAACTCTTATAAAGGAAAACACAAACATTTAATTGGGGCTGGCCTGGCTTACAGTTTCAGAGGTGTAGTCCATTATAGTCACGGTGGGAAGCAAGGCAACATGCAGGCAGACATGGTGCTGGAGAGGCAGCTGAGAGTTCTACATCTCGATCCACAGGCAACAAGAAATGAACTGTATTCTACACTGGGCATAGTTTAAGCATATAAGACCTCTAAGCATGCCTTCACTGTAACACACCTCTCCTAACAAGGCCACACCTACTCCAGCAAAGCCACTCCTTATGGGCCAAGCATTCAAACACATGAATCTGTGGGAGGCAGACCTATTGAAACTACCACGTGCCCCCATGTAATCCTAGCACTGGGGGTGGGGGATGGGGCAGGTGGACTGTAAATTTGAGTCCACCCAGAGCTAAATAGTGTGATTCTGTCTCAAAAAAAAAGAAAGAAAGAAAGAAAGAAAGAGAGGAAGAAAGAAAGAAGAGAAAAGAAAGGAAGGATGGTGGTGGTGGCACATGCCTTTAGTCCCAGAACTTGGGAGCAAGTTCCAGGACAGCCAGAGCTATACAATAAACCCTGTCTTGAAAAACAAACACAAAAAAGGAAAAAAAAGGGGGGGGGGGATGGGAGGTGGCCTTTCCATGGAACCTAGGCTGGCCTGAAACCCACTCTATAGCCAGCCTTAAACTTTTGTTGTTGTTGTTTTGTTTGTTTTGAGATAAGGTTTCTGTGGAACAGCCCTGGCTGTCCTAGAACTCACTTTGTAGACCAGGCTGGCCTTGAACTCACAGAGATCCACCTGCCAAGGTGTGCATCACCACACTGGGCCAACCTTAAACTTTCAATTCGCTTTATTCTATAGTTGTTTCTTAAACACATACATAGTCATGGTGCAGGCCTACAGTACCAGCTAGGAGGAAGCTGGTGTGGGAGGGTCAACAGCCCAGGAGTCCATGAGCGGCCTAGGCAACATAAAAGGACCCTGTGTCAGAGAAGGAAGAGAATGAAAAAAAGTGCACACCTATACTCCTAGCACTCAGGAGCTAGAGGCAAAGGTCCTGCAGACCCAACAGCTGGCCTACGAAGCAGGAGTCGGGGTGTGGGGGATGGGCTGGGAAAAGCTTGGTTGAGTACTGGACAGGATGAAGGTCCCGGTGTGATCTCAAACACCACATAAACCTGGCCTGGTGGCCCAGACCTGCAACCCCAGCACCAGAGGCAGAGGCAGGGGCGTCACTTGAGTCCTGCTTGTTCTACGTGGTAAATTCCAGATCCCCATGGGTTATAGTGAAACCATCTCAAAAACAAACACCTCAAATCAAAGAAACAAACCCAGCCAAGATAAAAACTTCCCCAGAACACAAAGAGAAGCCTAACAGCTATACATCTATTGTATGATCAGATCTTCAAAAGATAAGTGTGTATGTCCACACAAAGACTTCCTCCTATATGTTTATAACAGTTCCAAACTGAAGACAGTTCAAACACTCAACGACTGGGTAAACAAATTACAGATACACATTGATTTCCAGCCGGGCGGTGGTGGCACACGCCTTTAATCCCAGCAGTCCGGAGGCAGAGGCAGGCGGATTTCTGTGAGTTTGAGGACAGCCTAGTCTACAAACTGAGTTCCAGGACAGGCACCAAAGCTACACAGAGAAACACTGTCTTGAAAACAAACAAACAAAAAAGAAATTGATTTCTAAATAATTATGCTAGCCGGGCGGTGGTGGCACTCGGGAGGCAGAGCCAGGCGGATCTCTGTGAGTTCGAGGCCAGCCTGGTCTACAAAGCAAGTTCCAGGAAAGGCGCAAAGCTACACAGAGAAACCCTGTCTCGAAAAACAAAACAACAACAACAAAAAATTATGCTGAAAGAAGTCCAAGAGAACAAGATGGTTGATGCCATTAGTACAGAAGTCCAGGAACTCCAATCCCATCTACCGTGACAATTTGTGGGGGAGAGGAAAGGCTAACAGCGGGACACAGTAAGTTCTGTCCTTTTGCACGACTCTACGGGTCTCTCTCCAGAATCACGGGAATAAGTGTGCAGTCGGAAGACCTACATGTTAGCACCTTGGCTCTTTCCCAGAGCGGACAGGAGCGAGGCGCCGCGCCGCCTGGTGTCACTAGAGGGCGCTTGGACCTCGCCAGCCTGACGGTGTGGGTCGGCGGAGCTGGCGGCCCCTAGCGGCAGAGACCTCAAGCTGTGCCCCTCTCCGCAGTGAGTCCCAGGCCGGGAGTTCTCAGCATAGCAGGTTTTATTTTTTATTTTTTGTTTTTTTGTTTTTTAGAGCTAAGGGCCGAACCCAGGGCCTTGTGTTTGCTAGGCAAGCGCTCTACCTCTGAGCTAAATCCCCAACCCCAGCGTGGCAGGTTTTAATATGTCGCGGTTTTGCTTTGCCTGTACAGTTAAAGCATATATTTCTATTTATGTATGGGTAGCACTGGTTCCAAAGAGAGGAGCTGGCTGGATGAAGAAGGTAGAGTTCTTTCCCCTTACACCATTAGTTCAGTGCTCAAGACTTGCACTGTTAATTTTTTTTTTTTTAAATTAAAAACTAAACCAGAGTTCAGTACCCAGCTCACGACCATGGTTAATTCCAGTTTCAGAAGACCTGGTGACCTCTTCTGGATCCAATGGCACCAGACACAGATATGATGCACACACATACATGCAAGCAAAACATATGCATACATAAAATAAAAAAAAATAAGATTTTTTTCTGAGACAGGATTCGTCTGTGTAACCCTCTATCCTGAAACAGTAGTTTCTGTAGACCAGGCTGGCCTCAAACTCAGAGATCTGACAGCCTCTGCCTCCAGAGTGCTGGAGCCATGTGCCACAATTCCCGGCATAAAAAATGAAATCTTAACTTAGAAAAACAAGAAAACCTAAACTTCAAGCTAGTCAGGGTGGCCCATGCCTGTAATCTTAGCACTCAGAAGACTGAGGCAGGAGGATCATCAGGAGTTGGAAGCCAACTTGGGCTACAGAGAAAAACCCTGTCTCTAAAACAAAAATGAAACAAAACAAAATGAGCAACCAATCAAACAACAAACACTCCCTAAACTTCTGTAAGGCATATGAACCACCCCAGGAACAGAGTGAAACAGCCCTCTGACGCCTAGTGTGGTGTGTGTGTTGTTGTCGTGGGGTAGGGTTTCTCATGTACCTAGTCTGGCCTAGACCCTGCGGCTTCAGCCTCCTGAGCAGCTAGGGTTACAGGAGTCCACACTGCACTAGCTGACATTCTGAGGTGGCTTGAGGCTTCTTTTGATTTGAGACAGGGATGTGTTACATACCCCGGGCTGGCCTGGAACTGACTTGGCATGTCAGGCTGGTCTCAACCCTGAACAATCCTCTTGCCTTAGCTTTGTAAGTGCTTGACTGTAGACAAGAGTCACACGTTCTGAATTTAAAGCTATAGAGGGTGGGTACAGATCAGTGTAAAGAGTGTTTGTTCCCTACACACTTCATTATGTCATCTCATCTGTTACAAATCTTATGAACTCAGACTGTCCCTCATATGTTTAAATTTTTCCCTTTTTTTGTTAGTTTTGTGTGTGTGTGTGTGTGTGTGTGTGTGTGTGTGTGTGTGTGTGTGTTTCCTACATGTAGATACGTGCACCATGTGCATGCCTGGTATCCATAAAAACCAGAAGAGGGGACAGATCACCTGAAACTGGAATTATAGATGGTTGTGAGCCACCATGTGAGTTCAGGGAATGGAATTCTGGTAAGAGTAGTCTTAACCACTCTCCAGCCCCACTTTTTTTTCTTTCTTTCTTTCTTTCTTTTTGAGAAAAGGTCTCTATAGTGGGTAGCCATTCCAGCTTTGATCTGGAAGTTCCAACCCCCATTGAGGCTTTGGTAACTGTCACGCCTACAAGGCGGGGCGAAGAGAGGACCCTGAAGACCGAGATCCGGTTGTGCGGCCTCGCTTCCTGCTTGGACCGGGACTCTAGAGGCAGACCGAGGAGAGTTCTCCAGAGAACAACGCCGGACTAGCAGGAAATAACTGCTTAAGCTAAAGCTGAACCTGTGCACTAATTTGAAAGAATACAAAAGAAGCTGAACATGTGGTCCATGCCTTTAATCCCAGCACTCAGGGAGAGGCAGGTGTGTCTTTCACAGAACCCGCCACCTACCTATCCCTTCATTTGTAAGTTATGCCATTAAATAAATCTCCCTTTTAACTACGTGGAGTGGCCTTAATAATTTCACCAATAGGTCTCCATAGCTCAGGCTGGCAATTCTCCTGCCTCAGTCTTGCAAAAGCCAGGACTACAAATGTATGCTATCATGCTTGGCTCTTAAAAATGTGTTTTGTAGATGTTTTTCCAAGCCAGGATTCAGTCAGGTTTACATATCATGTCATTTGTCTCTTAACTACTTCTGGGAGGTGCTGTGGGCTGAAAATAAGGTCTTGAACATTACAGGCCAGTGTTCTACTACTGAGTCATACCCCCAATCTTTTCCAGTTTAAAATGCCTAAAAATATTTTCCTCTCCCCACCCTCCAGTTCTGAGACAGAGTCTCACACGCACCCCTGGCTGACCCAGAACTCACTATATGGATCAGGCTGGCCTTGAACTTGCACAATACCTCTTGTCTCTGCCTCCTGAGTGCTGCATGAGCCATGGCTAAAAGCTGTTCATTTTTTGACAAGCTATCCCAGTGGCTCCAATTCATATGCACAGTTCAGACTTTACAGCCACACATCTTAGCTTCGATCCACCTGCCTCTCCCTGAGTGCTGGGATTAAAGGCATGGACCACATGTTCAGCTTCTTTTGTATTCTTTCAAATTAGTGCACAGGTTCAGCTTTAGCTTAAGCAATTATTTCCTGCTAGGCTTTCATCTGACTTTGAACCAGCCCAGAAATCTGTAAAGTATTTTAACAAGTTTGATCATCAGTATATCTTCAATAAAAGACTCAAATCTTGAGCAGCAATGAGGAGAAAAAAAAAAGATATTAATGACAGACCATTTCATAAATTATAAAAGTTCAGTCCTAGATTTAATTCAAGCAAATGAATCACCTCTTCCATCTGGGCACTCCAGAGGATGCACAAACCTTCCACTGCTTAGAGAAAAGAAAGTACAGACACGTTAGTAGGGAGGATGAATTCAAAACCAGTCAGCAGTCAGAAGGCGCTTTAAGAGGCACAGTCCAGAAGTCCTGAAATGTCATTCCACTTATATCAATATCATGTTCCAGGATGAGACAGTAAACACAGAGTTTAATTTTATTTTATTTCAGTTCAGAGCCTGAAATAGGAACTCTTTGGTCTTTTGAACATTAACTTGACATTTGGAATCACCATTAGTTGGGACAAGAGGGAATTAGCTGGCTTGATGGTTGATTCTAACCCAAGGATGAAGTTTTCACAACTCCAGGACGGGGATTCTGCCCACTGCCCACAGCAACCATGTGTCACACGAGTACAGCTGAAGGCTCTGGAGCAAACAGCAGCCCAGACTTTGGCATCCATGTGTACTGGGCCAACTCTGCTCACTCTACCGAACACTGGATCCCTCTGGCCTGGCTCAATTTTTCTACACCACAGCACTTACCATCCTTCAGCCCACTAAGTGCTTGCCTATATACTCTGCTACTATGTGTTAAGACCCTCCAGCCAGAATAGAAGTCTCATTCTCGAAGGGATCGTCATATGTTGTTCATCTGTAGACACTTGGTAAGTACTTGCAGAACTAATGAATGTTGTAAACAGTCTATATGGGTGACATCACCTGAAGGGCCGCCATGTCAGTGGGCCTCTTGGTTCAATTTCTTGAACTCCACCACTTGGAAGAAGATGTGCTCAAGGATATGTTTGGCATCCTGCTGATCCTTTGGAAGTTTACTGGTTACTCCAAGAATGTCACCACACTTTCTGACATAGAATTCGAGGTCTTCATCAGTACCTAAACACAGTACAGTTTGATTAAGCCTTCATTCCCACTCTTTCCAGAGTGCAGACACCGTTTCTGAGGTGTTCCCTTCCTCTTGAGATTACTCAATTCTTCCTAGAATGATATGATCATGGGACTTACATTCTGGCAACTCTGGGGACTTGGATGTGTTTTCATAAATAAGGACAAAAGTGGCACATTTTGTTGTTCTTTAGTGAGACAGTCTCATGTTACAGTCCAGACTGGCCTCAAACTTGTAACAGTCTTCCTGCCTGACTTCAGTTTCCTGAGTGCTGGGATTACAGGAGTGAGCACTATGCCTGACTTCAGTTTCCTGAGTGCTGGGATTACAGGAGTGAGCACTATGCCTGACTTCAGTTTCCTGAGTGCTGGGATTACAGGAGTGAGCACTATGCCTGACTTCAGTTTCCTGAGTGCTGGGATTACAGGAGTGAGCACTATGCCTGACTTCAGTTTCCTGAGTGCTGGGATTACAGGAGTGAGCACTATGCCTGACTTCAGTTTCCTGAGTGCTGGGATTACAGGAGTGAGCACTATGCCTGACTTCAGTTTCCTGAGTGCTGGGATTACAGGAGTGAGCACTATGCCTGACTTCAGTTTCCTGAGTGCTGGGATTACAGGAGTGAGCACTATGCCTGACTTCAGTTTCCTGAGTGCTGGGATTACAGGAGTGAGCACTATGCCTGACTTCAGTTTCCTGAGTGCTGGGATTACAGGAGTGAGCACTATGCCTGACTTCAGTTTCCTGAGTGCTGGGATTACAGGAGTGAGCACTATGCCTGACTTCAGTTTCCTGAGTGCTGGGATTACAGGAGTGAGCACTATGCCTGACTTCAGTTTCCTGAGTGCTGGGATTACAGGAGTGAGCACTATGCCTGACTTCAGTTTCCTGAGTGCTGGGATTACAGGAGTGAGCACTATGCCTGACTTCAGTTTCCTGAGTGCTGGGATTACAGGAGTGAGCACTATGCCTGACTTCAGTTTCCTGAGTGCTGGGATTACAGGAGTGAGCACTATGCCTGACTTCAGTTTCCTGAGTGCTGGGATTACAGGAGTGAGCACTATGCCTGACTTCAGTTTCCTGAGTGCTGGGATTACAGGAGTGAGCACTATGCCTGACTTCAGTTTCCTGAGTGCTGGGATTACAGGAGTGAGCACTATGCCTGACTTCAGTTTCCTGAGTGCTGGGATTACAGGAGTGAGCACTATGCCTGACTTCAGTTTCCTGAGTGCTGGGATTACAGGAGTGAGCACTATGCCCAGCCTAAAAGGACGAGCCTAATCAGAGTAAAGCTCGTCTGTTCTGGTTTTCCCACTCCCCAAATCAAGCACTGGTACACCACAAAGCACAAAAGAAATGGAAGGAACTCAGGTTACCAGGCTCTAAATATAAAGGTCACTGTGAAAAGGTGATGTATGAAGTTCAAAGTAGCATTTATGCTAACCATGGTGGTACACACCCAGAATCCCAGCATCTGGGAGACTGAGGAAAGAGGATTACAAGTTTGAGACCAGCCTAGGTGACACAGGAAGAGCCTGTCACATAAAAGAAAAATAGAAGTCTAGGGATCTAGTTCAGTGGTAGAGCACTGGGCTGCAGCACCGGGATCAATGTCTAGTACGGGAGAAAGGAAGGGGCGTTCACCGGAAGAGCATTATAGAAAAGTAAAGTCATCGGTTCAGTCCTTAGTAAAACAAAAACAAAACCCCACCGTTTACTGTAGATTATCATAGAAAAGCAGGCCATGATACAAGGTGGTTTGCATCTGTCCTCAAAGAGCTAAGACAGGGGATTCTTGAGTTTGAGGCCAGCCAAACTGACCCAGCTCAGTTTCAGAATCAACTTACATTACCCTGTGAAACCCTGTTTTAAAAACCCCAAAAAAAGCAGGGCCTGATGAGGAGAGGACACAGGGGGATCCGAAGTTCAGTCAGACTCAACTACATATTGAGTTCAAGGTCAGCTATATGAGCCCATCTCAACCTTCATCCCATGCCCTGAAAATTAGAAAAACACCAAGAAAAATGTACCAGTAATTACAACAGACTTCTGTGAAGCCATTCCTTAGCAGTCCTATATCTAAGATGGATAGTTATTACAGCTCTTCTTGGGACAGGGTTGTACACTGTAGCCCAGGCTGGCCTTGAACACAATGATCCTCCTGTCTCAGCCTCCTGAGTGCTGGGATTACATGAGCCAAGCTCCACACCACAGATTAAATGTGAAACAAGTGACCACCATTCATTTGCTAGTTAACATGAAGGATATTCCCAATTTCATTTTTTTTTTTTTTGTTTTGTTTTTGTTTTTTGGACACAGGGTTTCTCTGTGGTGCCTGTCCTGGATCTCGCTCTGTAGACCAGGCTGGCCTCAAACTCACAGAGATCCACCTGGCTCTGCCTCTTGAGTGCTGGGATTAAAGGTGTGCACAACATACAGCTCATTGCATTTTAAAAATAAATAATGTCATCTGTGTATGCTCATATGTCTTCTTAAATCGTATTCCCGGGGTGGGGTCACTGCTTCACAGTGAGTGGTTCATTTTATGTCTCTTGCTATTTGGGTGCAGGCCTGTTCACTGTATAGAAGCAGAGCATATTAGGAGGTTCAACAGGCAGAAGGACACTCCGATTTGAAGTCTACACAAGTCTTTTGGCCCTGACTTCTCTTTCTATTCTTGTTTCTTTTTTTAAAGAACACTTAACTGTTTTATTATTATTATTTGTATGTGTGTTGGGGCAGCAGCTAGTCCATGGCATCCATGTGGAGGTCAGAGGACAACTTTTATGAAGTTGGTTCTCTCCTTTTACCTGTAAGTGGGTTCCAGGATGTGAACGCAGGCAATCATGCTTTCACAAGCACCTTTACCTGCTGAGCCATCTGCCAGCCTGTGGCTCTTTTTAATCTACATGGTCCTGTGACCCAGATCTGTAGGGTAGAAGCCAGGTTAGTATTCATCTTACGGTCACTCAATTGGTCAGAACTAAGGGCCTATGGGGATCAAAAGTGAGCCGGACTTTTTCTGCTTAGCATCATGTTCTAGA